GAAGCGGCCGCCAGGTTCTCCGCCTGTCTTCAAGGCTCGTTACGTGGCTCGACGCTTCAGTCAGCGAGAGGGAGTTGACTTCTTCCAGACCTTCTCCCCCACCCCGAAGATGACCACTCTTCGGGTGCTGCTGCACGTTGCCGCTCAGCGTGACTACGAGCTTCACTCTCTTGACTTCAGCACAGCTTTCTTACAGGGCAGCCTGCACGAGGAGATCTGGCTGCGCCGCCCTCCTGGCTTCACTGGGTCGTTCCCTCCTAGTACCCAGTGGAGCCTCCGGCGGCCGGTCTACGGTCTCCGCCAGGCTCCACGTGAGTGGCACGACACACTGAGGACGACACTTGCGGCTCTTGGGTTTGCTCCGTCGACTGCTGACCCGTCGCTGTTTTTGCGCACCGACACTTCGCTGCCGCCGTTCTACGTTCTCGTGTACGTCGACGACTTGGTCTTTGCCACTGCTGACACTGAGGCTCTCGCCCTGGTGAAGTCGGAGCTGCAGAAGAGACACACGTGCACAGACCTGGGTGAACTGCGCAGCTACCTTGGCTTGCAGATCACCCGGGACAGAGCACGCCGCACCATCACACTGACTCAGTCACACATGGTGCAGCAGGTCCTTCAGCGCTTCGGTTTCACCTGGTCCTCAGCACAGGCCACTCCTCTGGCTACAGGTCACTCGCTCTCAGCTCCACCTTCGGACGAGTCCGTAGAGCCGAGTGGTCCTTACCCAGAGTTAGTGGGCTGCCTCATGTACCTGATGACTTTCACTCATCCTGTCCTTGCGTACCCTCTTGGCCTTCTGGCTCGCTACGTGGCTCCTGGTCGGCACCGAAAGGTGCACATGGATGCTGCCAAGAGGGTACTACGCTACTTGTGCAGTACATCGGGCATGGGGCTCGTGCTTGGAGGACGGGGTGACGTTGTCCTCACAGGTCACTCGGACGCCTCTTGGGTTGACGACCAGGCTACGCAGCGGTCGTCACAGGGTTACACCTTCAGCCTTGGTTCTGGTTCAGTTTCCTGGCGTTCTACACGTTCGTCTTCAGTTCTCGGCTCCAGCTGTGAGGCAGAGATCTACGCCACAGCCATGGCTGCACAGGAGCTGCGCTGGCTCACCTACCTGCTGACCGACTTTGGAGAGAGGCCTCGTTCTCCTCCAGTGCTGTACGTCGACAACAAGGCCGCCATTGCCTTGTGTCAGGAGCACAGACTGGAGCACAGAACAAAGCACATCGCTCTCCGTTACTTTCTTGCTCGAGAGCTGCAGCAGCGTGGCCAGCTTCGTCTTACCTACGTGGCCACTCGGGCCAACACTGCTGATATATTCACCAAGGCGCTTCCGCCTGGTGATCATCAGCGTTTCTGCACTTTGTTAGGCCTTGTGCCCACGCTTTCTCACTTGCTGTAGGCTTTGTTTGTACCATGATTTGTATGTATTCCTGCATGCTTGTTCTTGTAGGTAGATATCACTGTACAGTTGTTACATATATATCTCTGCATGTGAACTGGCCTTGTGGCCTTCTTGCTTGTGCTCAGACTGCGTGGTGACGTTGTGATCCACCCTGAGCTTGCTTTGCACTTCCTGTCTGGCCTTGTGACCCTCTGTTCTCCCCCACTTTGCCTATGGGGGTGTGTCAAACATATGTGTATATGTTGTTGTTTAGATAGGCTTTGGTGGGGTACTCACTGTGGGGTACAACCCCTTAGGTTTCATTCTTGTACCAAAACCTCTCGACATTGCAATATTACTTTGCCTAGGATTCTAACAGACCAGTACTTTAATAATTCAAGTTCGTGTAGCGTATAAACTGATAGCCGACAGTTTGGAGTGTCTCGGTTGTTAGTGAAATCGCTGTTGAAGGGTAAGGCCTGAGGTTCGAGTCCTTGGGCTGTCATGTTACATAAGGACTGTAATCATAACAAAGATATGATGTGGGTGAAAATCAGAGTTTTTTCTTCAAGAACCATGAAAAATCAGGCTTTTTTTTTTTTAAGGGACACTGAAAATCAGCCTTTTTTTCACAGGGACCCTCTTGCACCAGCGTACCTAAAAGTGAATATGAGGGCCTGCTTCCCAGGGCTGATTTTATCAGGGTAATTACCCTGATTTCAGGGTGATTTCAGGCTTTCCACTTCGTGGAGACTGAAATTTCAGAGTTATTGAATTTCCAGCCCTGATCCAATCAGAGTAATATTTTAGCTATCCCTGATTTTGAGTACAGTGTAACAGACTAGGCTGTTAGTGGACCCTGACTTAACAGAGTATCGACTGTGTGGACCCTGACTTATCGAGACGAAGTTTCTCGGAAGTTTCCTTCCGATGACCCCGCCTTGGATTGATCGCAGTGATCCCCCCACATGTGCGTAATCCCCCCCCCTTCCCGCTTTATCGAGACGAAGTTTCTTCGAAACTTCGTTCTGATCGAAACTTCGAGACTTTATGGAGAGTGGGGATATTTTCCCCGACTTATCGAAAGGAACTTTCTCGGAAGTTTCTTTCCGATGACCCCGCCTTGGATTGATCGCATTGATCCCCCCACATGTGCGTAATCCCCCCTCTTTCCGCTTTATCGAGACGAAGTTTCTTCGAAACTTCGTTCTGATCGAAACTTCGAGACTTTATGGAGAGGGGATATTTTCCTCGGTAACAAAGCGCGCGTTACTACTCTGATGTTCAGATCTCGACCCTGAACAATCAGTGTTAACTACTTTACAACCCTGAGCAATCAGGGTACTGCTTTTCTGGAAAATGTGCACCCATAATAGAGGGAGAAAATTTTTCTCGGAATCAGGGAAGCTTAAAATGAAACATCAGCCCTGCTGCTTCCATAGTCTTCTCACAAACCTGGCTAGCTTATCGTATCTACTACGATTCTTGGTTATATAAACATATGTGGAATAAAAACACATGGAAATGACAAAGCAAATACATTTGCAAACGCTCGTACAAAAAATCATTATGTATAGTAACATATTATGCGCACTGTGTTAATGATAAAGATAATACATCTTGTCAACGTGTCTGAACCTAAAATGCATCAGCTGTACACAGCAATAGCAAATTGGCATGGCATGTATTTGTTTATAATGCCAGAGTGATGTCGAGTTACAGAGCCATCACCACTCTAGATGACGTTGACGTGGCACGATAGTTGCAGATGCTGGGGTTGCCGAGCAATCGTGTTGCTTGCACACAATGTAACGCTTCTCTCGCCACGTCATCTGGCATTCATGTATTGGCTTAGATCCGTAACTTCCTTTGGGATTGGTTATACGATCTGTGTGGGGATTCTTAGATAGCACCCAGATTGCGTAGACTGCTGACATGGAGTCGCACCATATTCGTGGCAGGTCCATCCGAAGTGCGCTTGCGGAAACCAGCCACGTGGAAGTACGAGCAATATTTGTCCAAATCGTGCCACGTGGCAGTCTTGCCCAACTCACGCCCTCTCCTGCTTCCTCTGTTCCCCACCTAATCTACATATTCGAAATTGGGAGTATGATGTACGAGCAAGCCGTGCACTTTCCAGTCTCCACTCCAGCAAATCTCTGTTCTTTCCTTTAACATTACTTACAGAGATGGCTGCCGTCGCCTCCCTCCCGACTTTCTCCGGCCTGAAGGCCGTGTCTGTCCAGAAGGTCGCTGTGAAGGCTGCCCCCGCTGCCGTGAAGCTTGCCCCCGTGAGCGCGTCCCTTAAGGATGCCTCCAAGGCCCTCGTTGCCGTCGGTGCCTCCGTGCTCCTCGCCGGCAGCGCCAACGCCGCGACCGTCCTGATGGGTGCCAGCGACGGTGCTCTCGCCTTTGTCCCCAAAGTGTCTAACGTGAAGGCCGGCGAGGAGATTACCTTCAAGAACAACGCTGGCTTCCCCCACAACGTTGTCTTCGACGAGGATGAGGTTCCCGCCGGTGTTGACGCTGATGCCATCTCCCACCCCGACCTGATCAACGCTCCCGGGGAGACGTTCACCGTGAAGCTCTCCGCCGCCGGTACCTACGAGTACTACTGCGAGCCCCACCAGGGCGCTGGCATGGTTGGCAAGATCGTCGTGTCGTAAATGATTTGTACTTAAATGTGCATTAAAATGAGCTACATACGGATTCGTTATACTTCATTTTTGTTACGAGAATCACCCGCTACCATTATACTTGAACGTTTCTTCACTGAACGGACTCGGAATTATTTCGGACCTTCGTCACGTTACTCCAATTGCCTGCCTTTAACAGACTGTACTAGCAAGGTTTCGATATCACGCCAGTATCCTCCACTCTTCACGCAACTCAAGGTGATATCATTATCCTTGAAAATAACCTACCCAGTTGAAAGTGACTTCTCGTGACCTTTGTCAGGCGCGTGCATTTGCTTAGGTGCAGTCCACCTGACTGGATTACTAAATTCTGGTATCCTTACGGCCTTGCAAATTGAAAGCATTTCAGGAGATGGTTTTGACTGAATAACATTAGTGGCTAACTACCATATTGGCGTCCTCGTTTGAAGCTGGCTGGCGTCCTCGTTCGTGGGGCAGCTTCTTTGGCAAACCTTGTTGGCGGTTGGCGATGAGAAACCTGCCAGGGCGAATCAAACCAGTATCCCGAGCTAACACCTTTGCCTCAGCCCTCTCTCGAATGGGAACCGTAGCACACATTCAACTTGTCTGGGCCAAACGGTTATTCACTTCACTTGCCTCCCGTTTGTCATGGCACCATGGCGTGGGTTTGAATGAAATTGAGGCAAAATATTGTAGCACCAGACACAGGAAAGCCATATATATACCATCACATTGGTTGCATTGTTAGGAGTGAGTATGGGATGCTAGAACGGCCATCCTGTGATGGGAGTTCTGCTGCTGGTCTCCATCCATTTCTCATTCACGGACTAGGGGTGTTTTTTGTACCAAACGTCCCACTAGGTATCAGTGTGTTCTCATTGAGGCTGCTTATTTGGCATCCACGCACAGGAATTCCATATCTACCATGCCCATCTAAAGGCAAACAGCCCACATTATTGGATGATCACATTCATCGCATTGTTGGGGGTGAGCATGGGATGCACAAACAGCTCTCCCGTGATGGGAGACCTGCTGTTGGTCTCCATCCATTTCTCAATCTCTTTCTTCTCATAGGTGTACCCATCTGCTGCCACCACCGGTTCCCTCATGCGCATCTGCACAGCACACACACACACACACACACACACACACACACACACACACACACACACACACACACACACACACACACACACACACACACACACACACACACACGTGTTGCATATCAGTTAGAAGTAAGTACTGAGCACTTTAAAATCATATACCGTATTACCCCGGATAGAAGCGCACCTGCGCTTATAATAAAGCTGAGTTTTTTAGGGGGGTGCGCTTCTAATTGAGTCATTTTTATAAGCGCATGCGCTTATATATTGACATATACGAATTTATAAATTTAAGACACCAAATTGTTTGTTTCACTCTTGCCATTTCAACCGAGTCGAAAATTCACGTCACTATGCAGAATCTCCTGCAAGCGATTCTCTTCCAGCACACAGGGGCCAAGATGCGACACTTTGCAGTCATGCCAGCACATCCTGACTGGACGCGCAGCCAGTCAGGTCTTCGAGAGTCAAACTCAGCGAAAATGAGTTTGTACTCGCTTCAAAATTGAAACTCGCTACCGTTTCGAACAGGAAATTTAATTTAAAATTGTACATGCGCTTATAATAAGTAACGTTTTCACAGGGGGTGCGCTTATAATTGAGGATCGGCCATAAGCGCATTGCTCCAGATAGAAGCGCATGCGCTTATAATAGGCCTGCGCTTCTATCCGGGGTGATACGGTATGGTACTCACACACTCGCTTAGACAAAAGAAACTGGCACGCACCACATACCAATCGAAGCCCACAGAGCTGCACCGAACATGCAAGCGAGACAAGTCTCATGACTCACCTTGGACAGAAGGCAGAGCAGGTGATTGTCGGCCCCATCCCGCCGCCTCTCCACACACCCTGCACTCTCCTCTGCCAGTTGCATCAGCACCTCATGCACCTCCCTCTCAAGATCAGGTCGGCTTGCTCGCCTCCTATTGGTGCAGGAGATTGCGATCGCTGCCACCTCAGCTGCAGCACCACGGTCCCACTTGCCCCCCGAGTCTTCCAACCTCTCTATAATCACATTCACTGCCCTTTGGAGGCTGGTGGTCAGGTGACGTGTCCATCTGCTATTGGTGCTGGTGCCGCTGCTGTCGATCAGGCGAGCCAGGCCCACGTCTGCCAGCTTAGCGCGGAGGCTTGTATCGAGGAGGATGTTCTGGGGCTTTAAGTCCCGGTGGGCGATCGGGGGCGCGTGCTGGTGCAGGTAGAGCAGCGCGCCGGAGATTTCAGACAAGATTCGGATCCGATCTGGCCAGGAGAGCGGGCGGCAGAGTGAAGACAGGGCGCTGGTAGGACCAGCACCGTTACCATCACCACTTGAAGCACCAGCACCACCACTAGCACCACCAGCAGAAGCAGCAGAGCAGAGGTGTTGGGAAAGGTCGCCCCCAGGTAGGAACTCATAGACGAGGCAGTTGATGGCGGGGCAGTGGCCCATGAGCAGCACGATGTGTGGGTGGCGCATGCGCGACAGCACGTGCACCTCTGTGCTGTACTCCTCCTCGCCCTGCCACCCGCTGCCCTCCAGCCGCTTGATCGCCACGTCACAGCCTAACAAACTCCCCTTGAAAACCTGTGGAGGAAAGACGGGAGGGAGAGATGGAGGGAGAGATGGAGGGAGAGATGGAGGGAGAGATGGAGGGAGAGATGGAGGAAGAGGGAAACGGTGTGGGATAGCATTAGCAGCATGGTACTCCAAAGAGGGGTTTGCAAGAAGAGTGTCAAGAAAGGTTCAAAGACAGTTCGGAGAAGCTTCTTTGAAGGTTGTTACCTGGCCGAAGGCGCCAGCTCCGAGCAGGTTGGAGGAGTGGAAGCCGTTGGTTGCTGTGATGAGCTGCTCCGGAGAGAACACCCTGCTGCCAACACCTGATGCAAAGTGGCCTGATGCCACGTTGGATGGTGCCACGTTGGATGGTGCCACATGGCCTGATGAAATTCCACTGGATGACGCGGTTGCAGCGCTGCCAGGTGGCGATGGCACGAAGGCTGCTGTTGCTGCTCCTGCTGCTGAGTCAGCATAGCCATGGGACACGTGGCTGACAGGAGGAGAGTAGTGGTGGGCAGTGCTGCCCAGGCTGTAAGACCCCCCCTGGTCCCACCCCACGCTGCCGCACTCCCAGTTATTCCTCCACGCCCCATCGCCCTCCCTGTCAACCTTCCCCACGTTATTCCTTCTCCCTGCCCCACATGCCATGTCCCCCCGGCAACGTGTTGCTTCTCCCCCCATCCCTCCCCCACCCCACACCCCCGTCGCCACTCCCTCGGCTCGCAGGCCGAACCACACCGCTGCTAAACCCACCAGTACTGCTCTCCACGCCTCCGCACTCCCCGTAGCCCCTGCGCATCTCCGTCCCCCAGGTCACGCCGCCATGATCGCCACTGTCTGTAATGCCCGAGTGCTCCGCTCTGCTACCAAATGTCGGCACTCCGGGCAGCAATTTTGCCTCCAGCAGTTTTGCCTCCAGCGTGGAGGATTTGGGCGGACTGATTTTATGGTTCGGCGCGTGGTGCGGCGGGTTCTGCGGCGCCTGTTGCGGCGCGTGCGGCGGCTCCGCGTGTCCGGGCGCGTGGAACTTGGGAAACAGCAGCTCCTCCTGCGCTTGCCTCAGCGCGCGCTGCGCCGCACTCGCCGCCGCATCTTGCTGCTGCTTCCGCTCCTTCTGCTGCTGCTCCCACGTGGAAAACTGCATCATCGCACCCAATCGCTTCTTCATCGCATTTATGTCCGCTTCTGCTGCTGCCGCTGTCGTCGGTGTTGCCGCCGCTGCTGCTGCCGCCACTCCCGTTATGGATGGGGACGGCGGGTGCGGAAGCTGCGGGGGAAACGCGCGAGCGTGGGGGGAGGCGGAAAGCGGGTCGTGGTAGCGGGCGGGAAAGCCTCTGTCGGCGGCTGGATCCCCGAGCGACGATTCCGAGCCGCAATATAACGTGCCTGTTGATCCAGTCGTTATCTGCCTCGCAATTAGCGAAGGTTCCTCAGGTACTACTGCGGCTGCAGCCGCTGCTGTCGCAACGGCAGAGGCGGCGCTTGTTGCGGCGGCAACGCCTCGTTCTTTCCGCGTGCTGCTGCGCGAGAAGAAGTTGTAGTGCCCGCCGCTTCCGCGGGAGTGCCCATCATCCCCGCCGCTTGCGCGGAAGTGTCCGTCGTCCCCGCCACTTGCGCGGGAGTGCGCGTCATCCCCCCCGCTTCCGCAAGAGTGCCCATCATCCCTGCTGCTGCTGCGCGAAAAAAGGTTGTAACGTCCGCCGCGCTTGCCGCTTCCGCGGGAGTGTCCATCATCGCGCGGCGAGATTATATCGAGCGTCTTCGAGCCGTCTTCGTGCGGTTCCGATTGGTGCGCGACTTTGCTTCCCTGCGTATGAGGAGGAGAGGATACTGTGAGTAAATCACGCGTCGAAGGACGATGCAAACACGTCCTAGAACATAATTTTGAGACGACTCAAACTGCAGTTGAGGCCGCTAAAACCTGACCCCTGCTTTTCCAGTCCGCGCCTCATGAATGGTTTCAACAGTACCGAAGCTTACCCCCAAGTACCGAAGAGAGATGTTGCCGTACTTCGGTCGAACATCCTCCGTCAGCTTCGCCGTTTGCGCCAACGCCGGCGGCGTCGGCGGCGCCGCGCAGGAAGTTCGTCGAGCCGCCTCTGACGTCTCCAACTGTGGCGCGAGAGCGGCGCCGCCGGCGCACTCCTCCGTCCAATCCAGAAACTCCTTTTCCCAGCTGGACTCGCCCGGACCGTCCGATTCGTTGGACGCGAAGCTTCTGTCTCTCTCAACCGCTGCCGGCGGCAGTGGCGCTACGCGCGCGCCGCCCTCTGCGTGCCACAGGTAATCCAATGTTGTTTCTTCGAAGCTTCTGCGGCGGCTGGAGTTATCGCGGATGAGGGGCAAGAAGCAGCTGACGTCATCGTGCGATGCGGGTCTGCCAGACACTGCGGGATTTTCCGGTACAAGCGGTTCGGTCGTTACTGCTTGAAGCGCTTGGTCGCCGCTTCCCGTTTCGAGGATGGTTTCGCCGCCGCCGAGGCGCGCAACGGCGGCGCATGCATCGGCTGCGCCACGCGCCGCGCGTCTGCCGCAGTGCTGCCGGGGGAAGTCGCGGGGACCTGCCGCTACAGACCCGCGGGGCATATCGGGGGAAGATTGCCAGTGGGGGGGATGAGGCGGAAGAGGGCAGTGCCGGGGGGACACAATCGGCGGAACGTCGCCGAAGGTGCTGCCGGCGGTTGGATGCTGGGATGCGTCGTCTGGACGAAGGTGCAAACCGACGGGGAATCCGCGACTTTTTACCGACGGGTAACCAGTTTCGCCAGCGTGCATGGCCACGTCGTACACGCGTGGCGAATGCGGCGGCGTCCAGCGAATGGGGACTTGAAGAAGCAAATCATCGGATTTACCGTGATGATGAGTCGAGCGACATTGTGAGTAGTGATCCATGGCGTTCATCGTCTGGTGAATCTTCTTCGCAAGTAATGACAATGTCCGGCATCTATAATCCGCTGAAAGTTCTGTCTGCAAGGGTCACGCTTTCTCAATGTTTTGCAGTCAGGAAGGACATTGCGTGGAGAATTTTCCTAGGCCAAATGGTGTATGAACGGCGGTGGTGACATGACTCGTCGTGACGCCACCAGAGAAACGAATTCCGTTTACCGAACAAGTTGAGGTGCAGCTGAGGCAGACTACTGAAGGCCGAAGTCAGGGAGCAGGCAAAATGGCGCGGAAAGGACAAGTAGAGCAGGACCAGAGTCCTGCTTGGTACTGTGAACGACTCGAGCCATTCCGTGTTGGAGGAAGCAATAGCAACTGATTAGTGGGGGAATTAGCCAATTTTCCCTGCCATGTTGGAATTTCCTTAGTCCTGACTGGTAGCGCATTACACTCTGGTCTGGACTCCAGGGCAGACCAAACCAGGGCCCACCCTCGATATCTCTACCATGCTCGCATCGCATGCTCCGCCTTGCTCGCTGGCTCTGCTCTCGCGCGCTCAACCAATGTCGAGCTCCAAAGCGGCACATTCCCGAGCCGCATGTCCATCAAGTTGGGATTTGGTAAAAGAAACCAAGAGAATCCACCTGGAGGGCAGCATCACGAGCCGCGTTTGGTCCTCAGTGTTAGACGATGGGCTTTACTGTAGTGCAAAAATATCCTGAAGCGAATCTTTCGATTCGGTTGAGTTGCAGCTTGATAGTGGAATTTCGCCCAGACTGCATGCGCTGTTGCGTGATTGGGTGTATTTTCTCCTTGAGCCAACAAGGCGGAGGCTCAGCAGCAATACTTTGAAACACTAAATGTACCAATCAGTGGAGACGTTCGAAATGTTCTGACACCTGCCCGTTACAGCTGTTTGGCATTTGGTAGTCATCCCGAACTTGCAGTGCAACTAGCCCAACTTCCAAGTGGGCCATGAAATCTCCCGCAAGGTCCTCCTCAACATAAGGATAAGGAGTGGTTAGGAACCTAGGTCCCTATTTTTGTATGTTAGTTAGTGGTAACATGAGAAATTTAGGAACTAGACGACCCCAATGATCTCAGCCTCACCAGGTTTGTTCATTGTTGCATGTTAAAATACAATCAAAAGGGTTTATGTACAGTTCCGCAGTATATTATATAGATAATTCAACTATATGGCTACTTTCGCTAGTCAGACCTTGCCTGCACCCCATTTATACACACATATTTCGTGTAACAAATATATTGAAACACTTATTCAAGCACTAAAATCCTCCACTCCCACTGCCCGCTCCAAGCTGCTCCGCCTTTTTCAACTCCATCGTCAGGCTTCCCAGACTATTCGAATCGTCTATCTCCCTATCGATGCTCGAAACCACCTTGTCGGTCTCCGGCCCGAAGAACGCCTCCTTCATATCCATGAGTTCTGCGAGAACGCGCGCCATGGACGGCCGCGACGCGACGGGCACCTTGGTGCAGTCGATGGCGAGCCGCGCGAGGCGCAGCACGAGATCGTCGGGCGCTTCCAGGCGCGGGTCCCGGAAGGCCTGCGCGTTGCACGCGTCGGCAAGCGGAGCGGCCTGTTGTTGGAAGAGGGGAGGAGTGATGGGTGGTGGAGGAAGAAAGAAGGGAGGCAGTTAGTGAATGGGGGAGAGTGAAGTTTGGCCGTGTCCAGGCGCGGTCCCGGAAGGCCGGGGCTTTTCACGTGTCGACGAGCGGAGCAACATGTTGGAATGGGGGAGGAGGTAGGGGAGGAGATAGGGAGGGGGTTTTTAAGTGAGGTTGGGAGGGAATGTGTAAGAGAGAAGTGTTGGGTGCATTCAAGCGCGGGGGTCCGGTCCGGGAAGGCCGCCGCGTTGTGACACACCATGGGAGAATGCATGGACCTCCTCTCATAAGGAGGGAGGGTGTTACGTGGTAGGGAGGGAGGGGAAAAGCAGGAGGGCAGATGCGTGCGATAAATCAATTTTTGAGTCAACTCAAAAGTAAGGAGGGAGGGTGCTAAGTGGTAGGGAGAGGAAAAGCAGGCGGGCAAATGTAGGTGATAAGGGAGAAGGGAATGGGGGAGAGGCGGACTTATCCAGTCGTTGATGTTGACCTGCTTCTCCCCCACTTCATAGATTCGACAGGAGGAACAAGGCAGTGTGTTGGCAGGTAAACAGAGAACAAGCCAAACATTAGGAGGGTAGAGAGAGAGAGAGCTTACCCAGTCTTTGATGTTGACCTGCTTGTCCCCCACTTCATAGATTGCGCGGCGAGCCGTGATCACTGTTAGCAGCACCACGCCAAAGCTGGGCACGCAGGCAGAGAGAGGGGGAGAGGGGAAAGCAGGGTAGGGAAATCAGGGAAATCAACTCCTGAGGTGCCTTGAAGTGCTTCATAGATGGCCCGGTGAGCCGTGATCACTATGAGCAGCACCACTACAAATCTGTACAAGTGAACAGGGAGAACGGCAGGGGAGTGGAGGGACGGGAGAAGTAACCGTTGGAAAGGTAACCAATGGTTGGAAAGCGCAACTTCTGTGTACATACAATTTTGCCAATGCTGGCTGGCACTGCTCTGTATCGCTCTATACCGCTCTGTACCTGTGCACGTCGGTAGCAGGAGAGTCCTTCTGGGATTTGTAATAAGCAGGGTCCACATAGCCTGGTGTGCCCATCACCCTTGTGAACTTGCTTATAGGCCAATACCGGATGGCACCACTCTAAACTGCTTTGCACTGTTTTGTACCGCTCTGTACCTGTGCACTTCGACAGCAGGAGTCCATCTGTGACTTGTAGTAAGCGGGGTCCACATAACCCGGTGAGCCCATCACTCTTGTAAAATACTTTTAGGCCAATACCGGCAGGTACCGCTCTGTACCATTCTATACCGCACCGTACCGCTCTGTACCATTCTGCACCGCACTGTACCTGTGCACATCAGCAGCAGGAGTGGCCTTCTGTGACTTGTAATAAGCAGGGTCAACATAGCCCGGTGTGCCCATCACTCTTGTCGACGCCATTGTAGCTGATGTTCCTTCTCCCAGCCGCACCAGCCCGAAATCAGCCACCTTGGCCTGGCATGGGGTGAGGGGAGAGGGTAGGGGGTTCAGAGTTGAAGTGTGAGTGGGGGCTCGTGCAGAGAGGGGTAAACTAGGAGGTGCCCACATAGCCCTCTGTGCCCATCACTGTTAGGAGCCTGACAATGGCAAGCGTTTCGTTTTCGCACCCTCACTCTCATAAGCATCCCTGCACGCCCTCCCGTTCACATCTATTTAAAAAAAAAAAAAAAAAACAAAAAAACAAGGGATTTTTGCACCCTCACTCTCATAAGCATCCGTGCACGCCCTCCCATGCATATCTATCTATCGGCTCACATTCATCTTGGAATCAAGCAGGATGTTGGCGGGCTTGATGTCGCGATGCACGATGCCAAAGCTGTGCAGGTATTGCAGCCCCTCTGCCACGCCGATCATCACGTGCACTCGCTCCTTTGCTGTCAGCGGCCTTGGTGTGTCTGTTGGAATAGAGGAGAGGGAAGGTGGAGAGGGGGGGACGACAGAGGGGGGGGGGGGGAGGGGGGGTATTATAAGGTACTGCAGCCGCCCTGCCACGCCTATCCATCACCTGCACGCGCTCCTTTGCCGTCAGTGGGCGATGTGTGTCTGTGTCAATGGGGACAGAGAGGTAAGGTGCACACAGATGGTGATGCATGAGGTGGCATGGGGAGAGCTGTGAAGGTACTGAAGCCCCTCCGCCACGCCGATCATCACGTGCACTCTCTCCTTTTCCGTGAGCGGCCTTGGTGTGTCTGATAGGAGGGACAGACAGAGGGAAGGAGGGGGAAGACAGAGAGGGAAGGGGGTGTCAGCAGGTACTGCAGCCCATCTGCCACGCCGATCATCACGTGCACTCGCTCCTTGGCACTCAGCGGGCGAGTTGTGTCTGCGAGGGGACAGGAGGAGGGCGAGGGATGGGTGGGGAAGAGGAAGCTGTGCAGACGGACAGGTGCATTGAGGGAAAGATGTTAGCAGGTAGTGTGCTGCCCCTTACCACGCCGATCCTCACCTTCACTCGCTCCTTGGCAGTCAGCGGGCGAGGTGTGTCTGCGAGGGGGGATGGTTGAGCGCAGGTGGTATGGGGGACACTGTGTAGGTACTGCAGCCACTCCGCCACTCCTATCATCCATCACCCTCACTTGCACTCACACCCACCCCATCCCATCCCATGCCACCCCACCCCATCCCACCCAAAATCCTATGTAACCCATCGTGTGTTATTTTATGTGTGTCACCCTGACGCCTTTTTGAGGCGCCTCAGAAATCACCCTGTCGCTCTGATCTCAACTGGAGCCATTGTTTAGTCGACTCAAAATTCACCTCGACTCAAAAGTCACCTCGACTCAAAATTCACCTCGACTCAAAAGCTTTTTTCAGGCGCCTTTAAAATCACCCTGTCGCTCTCATCTCACCTCCCCACCCCACCCCACCCAACTCACTCTCATCTCGACTGGAGCCGTTTCTCGAGGTCTCCCTTATCCACGAACTCGTACACCAGAATCTGCTCCATGTTCTGAGTGGTGGGGTTGTGGTCAATGGTCACCTCTCTCAGCCACCTCTCACCACACACCACCCCACCCCACCCCACCCCACCCCACACCACCTCACCCCACCCAACTCACTCTCACCTTGGCTGAGCCACTTCTCAAGGTCACAAGTATCCACAAACTCGTACACCAGAACCTGCTCCATGTTCTGAGTGGTGGGGTTGAAGTCAAGGTTCACCTGGCTCAACCACTTCTCAACCCATCCCATCCCACCCCACCCCACCCCACCCCACCCCACACCACCTCACCCCACCCAACTCACTCTCACCTTGGCTGAGCCACTTCTCAAGGTCGCAATTATCCACAAACTCGTACACCAGAATCTGCTCCATGTTCTGAGTGGTGGGGTTGAAGTCTATGCAGTATCCGAGTAGTCGCACCAACGCTGGGTGGTGCTTGGATGCCATCTCCTTCACCTGGTGGGAGACAGACAGGGGAGGAAAGGAAAGGGTTGATGGGCGAAAATAGAGGCAGACGAGAGTACTGGGGGAGGAAGGACCTGTGGCTTCGAAGTCAATGCAGTATCCGTGCAGTCGCACCAACGCTGGGTGGTGCTTGGATGCCATCTCCTTCACCTGGTGGGAGGGAGAGAGGGGTGGGTAGGGAGAGAAGCAGAATTGGGAAGGGAGGAGCGGTGAGTTGGTTTCCATGCAGCAGCCCAGCAGTCGCGAGTACGGAATGGGGGATGGGGGATGGGGGATGGGAAGTTTAACCCGTATAAGCTCCCTCTGGAAGTCTAGACAGCGGCATCCCCAAAGTTGCTCCAGAGGGAGGTTATACATCCCCCATCCCCCATCCCCCATTCCGTACTCGCGACTGCTGGGCTGCTGCATGGGAAGTTTAACCCGTATAACCTCCCTCTGGAATTCTAGACAGCGGCATCCCCAAAGTTGCTCACCCACCAAAAGAAATTCCAAGGCATCCCAACAATCGTGTTACTCACTTCCCTCTGGAAGTCTAGACCGTTTAACTACCATTGTCTCCTCAGGGTTATCGGAGTAGAGTAACCCCCATCCCCCATACAAGCTGACTCACCTCCCGCTGAAAGTCTTGGGTGATAATCCTCGACCGCTTAACCGCCCAGGTCTCCTCGGGGTTATATGGGTTGAACCCCCGATACACATCCCCAAAGCTGCCGCTGCCAATCTGCCTGCTCTCCGCCCAGCTGCACGTAGCCTGCTCCATCTCTGGGAGTGAATACTCCCGGAATACCTGCAAGGAAGGAAATGAGGTTCAGGGGGAGGAAAGAAGAGAAGGGATAATAAGGCTGTTCTCTGCTCAGCTGCACGTAGCCTGGTCCATCTCTGCTAGTGACACTCCCGGAACACATGTGAAAGGGCAGTGAGAGGAAGGGATGAGAGGAAAGGCTTCTTAGCCAATCCGCCTGTTCTCGGCCCAGCTGCAAGTTGCATGCTCCTCCTCTGCTAAAGAGTATTCCCGGAATAACTACAAGGCAAGGGAATGTGAGGGGCAGGGGAGGAAAGGAGAGAAGCGAACTGCCAGTTCAATGCTTGGATGCCATGCTTAGCCATCTTCCTGTTCTTAGCCCAACTGCAAGTTCCATGCTTGGATGCCATGCTTAGCCATCTTCCTGTTCTTAGCCCAACTGCAAGTTCCATGCTCCATCACTTCTAGAGAGTAATCCGTGAATATCTGCAAGGCAAGGGAATGTGAGGGGCAGGGCAAGGGGCAGGGTAAGGGGAAGAGGGAGGCAGCGAAAAGAAAAAAGGGGAGGCGGATGGGGTTATGCGGGTGGAACCCACGCCACAATGCACAGGTCTCCGAAGCTTCATATTTTTAGGCGCCTAAAGAATGGGTTGAATGGGTTGATACGCGTGTCCGAAGCTGACATTTGAGACGTCTCGAAAGTTGAACCCCCGATACGCGTCTCCGAAGCTGACATTTGAGACGTCTCGAAAGTTGAACCCCCGATACGCGTCTCCGAAGCTGCTGCTCCCAATCCGCCTCTTGTCTACCCAGCTGCAAGTAGCATGCCCTATCTCTGCTGGTGCTCACCTGAAAATGCACCTGAAACTCCCCTGAAGCCCCTGAAGCACCTGAAAACGCACCTGAAGCACCTGAAAACGCACCTGAAGCAGCGCCTGTTTCGCAACAGACCCGGCCGAGCTGCCCTGACTTGCCTGCCCCGCCACCCTCCCCCCCATGTGCCCTGAGCCCATCCCCCCGCCTCCCCCCATGTGCCCTGACCCCATCCCCCCGCCTCCCCCCATTGCGCCCATCCCCCCCGCTGCCCCCGCTCCCCCCATGGCGCCTGCAGACCAAGGAGGGACGTTCGGACCTGATGCCATTGGTCCCCCTCCCCCCATCATCTGCCCCCCTCCGCCCATCTGTCCGCCCCCCATCCCCCCCATCGCGCCCATTCCCCCTGCCATTGCCCCCATGGCTGCTCCCCCCGCCATAGCAGCTCCCCCCATGCCCTGGGGCGGTGGGGGGCCTCCCGGGTAGGGAATCATGGGGGGAGGTGCGCCTGGGGGAAATGGGGGAAGGGGAAGGGGAGAGGGAGAGGGGAAGGGGAGGGGGGAAGAGGAAAAATTGAAAGGTAGAAGAGTCTCTGTATGCATGTTGTGACTGTATGCAATGTGGCTGAACCATTCCCTCGCACCCTTGTATACAACTGGCAGGGGTGGCGGTGCAGCGCGCACGTGGCGAATCACAGTCTTGAGAGGCTTGCACACCACGAGCCCAATCGCAATGGCTACCAGCAGCAGCACAATCCCCTCCCCCCCACTCCCCCCCACTCCCCCACAAACGCCCCCTGGAGAACGGCAGCTGCGAATACGAGTGCAACCCGCGCACCTTTGTATACACTCGGAAGCGGCGGTGGTGCTGCCCTTCCCGCACGTGTCTGATCACGGTCCTGCGAGGCTTGCACACTGCGAGCGCAATCGCAATGGCTACCAGCAGCAGCACAATCGACACTGGTGGAAGAGAGATAATTACCAACAGGTCACGCCTATCTCACCTTTGTACACAACTGGCAGAGGAGGTGGTGTAGCGCGCACGTGGCGAATCACGGTCTTGCGAGGCTTGCACACTGCAAGCCCAATCGCAATGGCTACCAGCAGCAGCACAATGGCGCCCCCCGCTGCAATCCCGATAATTGCGGGCATGGGGAGGTTGAAACCCGAGGAATCGCCACCGTCGCCGCTGCTGCCAGAATTTGCGGCGGCGTTGGCGTTAGCAGAGTTGGTGTTGTTGTTGGTGGTGTTGGTGGTGGTGATGGTGGTGTTGCAGCTGCTTCCAGAGCACGTTTGCATGCCTGATGCGAGAGGGGGGGGGGGGGGGGGGGGGGGGGGAGGTGGGTACGATATAGTTAAGTTAAGATCGATATACTATATGGAACTGCGAATTGGTATCCGCCCCAGATGTTTTCCTGCAATTATTTCGTTACTTCCTCGCAACTTTGGGAGTCACTCTTTCGCAGCTTCCTGCTCTTGTCAATCCAACTAGTAGTTGAAAAGTGGATAGATATTAGGAATACAAAATAAGATGAAGAGATATCATATCCATGATAGTCGAGTCGAACGCGAGAGGGAACTGGAAAGAGAAGGAGAGGTGAAAATAAACATATCCGTCCACTGAATCGAACGCGAATGAAGATCCCGCACTGCACATATTGAGGTAATCACAATGGCGTTTCGAGACGTCTCAAATTCAAGTTCGGACATTGAATCGAACTTGAACGAGCGTTCCGCACTGCACACGAAAAACTTTAGATTTAATAACAAGAGGGCTCTACAGTGTCTGTGGTCGCAGCGATAAACGTACGACGAGACAGTGTACGAGTCCAACGTTAAAGAGATTGAATTAAGAGGAGAGATTATCTCGGTGCATCTTCGTAAACGTACGAAATTAAGTAGACGTTCTCTACAGAGTAATCGTTGAAAATATTTTGATAAAAGATAGTAGTTCGAAGATAACAGAAAGCAGAAAGAGATAAAAGAAACAGGAATCATATTTTCCATTGGGGATGAGAACAGGACTAACTCTGGGAGGAAACCGTTGTCGGGTAAAGTAGTATCCACGCCAGCAGTCCGAAAAGAAACATCACGTTAGTCCTTCGTCGAGCCATTTGCTGTTTCCGAGCAAGCGGTTGAAGAGAACAAAAGCTACAACAAGTTCCAAAAAATCCTTCCCTAGTAAGCAAACGTTGCGAGTACAGCTGAAAAATATGCTGGGTACCAAATACTAACTCGTTTCTGGAACGGCGAACAACAAACATACATGTACTGCGGTACTGGAATGAGGTGGACTTGGAAAAAGAGAAGTGATGACAGAACTTATTCAGACGAGTAGCAAATGTAAGAGAGGAAGAGTGGGAGGAAAGGGATGGGATGAGAGGGAGGGAGGGAAGAAGAGGAAGAAAGGGGGCGGTTCGGGAATCGGGAGAAAGGCGGAAATGTATGCCAGCGAGGCAACGCACCGCCTGCTGAAAATGCAGGTTGGAGGGAAAACAGCCAATCATAAGGGAGAGACTGGGCATTGACAGCGTTGACTACCACGTGCGTGGGCTTCCCCTTACGTCGGCGCAACTAATGCTTGCATTTCTGCGCGGCCTCTGCTGAAGAGACGTGCGCGGAAGTCACGACCGAAGAGAAAGGGCTCAACCAAGAAGCCTCCCCCGTCTCTCACCTCTCCACAGTGGCAGTTTCCCGCGCATAAGAAACGCTGATAACGCCATGTCAGCGAAGCGAAAACATAAGGGAAAATATGTCAATGGTAACTTACATGGGGCAGTATAACGCGTACGGTAACGATTTCAACGCGTTTGGTAACTCGCTTAACGCGTTTGGTAACTCGCTTAACACGTTTGGTAACTCGCTTAACACGTATGGTAACTATACACTAGCAGCCCATCACGCGAAACCCTTAACTAGAAGAAACCCTCGCCCAAAATGACCCTGATTCTGGTTTTTCCCGCTCGCGTCAGACTAAATTGACGAATCTTGAAGTAGAAACCTCTGACACGCTCTCCGAGATTCTGACACAGCTTTCCAAAATTCTGACACACTTCCTGAAATCCTGACATACTTTCCGATTTTCAAGCTAATTGCAAAACCGTAAGTATTTCAAAAACCAAGTTTTATATGCAACTGATATTCTGGCGCTCCTTCCACAAACTGTTTGTACTTAATTCTATCGTGCAACCGGGGCAAACAAATCGATGCCCCTTTCAGATGGCAAATGAATTTGGGAGCATCAACCCTAAACTCCTTGCGACAAGACGTGGTATATGGTTATTTTTTGAAAAATAAAACATGTAATTCTAAAGAGGTGTATCTTTTCCATATGAAAAAAAAATGGCCAACGTTGCAGTAATTACAAAACTTAAAAGCCCGATGCCCTTTCGCGGAAAGTTTTTTTTTTTAATCATTTTGCAAGTTTGCAATCATGCTATCAAAAATATGATTTGAACCGTTTTTGTTCGAGCCATATATATATATATAAGCTTTGAAACTTCTTGGTCCGTGGTATTAGATTAAACAGGGTCCTTCAAAGTCGCGGCAGAACTTGTTCAAAAAATATAAAATTGTGCGTAAAGGCTTTCAAACTCGATAAATTCCTCAATTTCATGATCATTTCGGCGAGAGTTTCATGTAGTTATCATTCGCGTGATGGGCTGCTAGTGTATAGTTGCCATACGCGTTAAGCGAGTTACCAAACGTGTTAAGCGAGTTACCAAACACGTTAAGAGAGTTACCAAACGCGTTGAAATCGTTACCGTACGCGTTATACTGCCCCATGTAAGTTACCATTGACATATTTTCCCAAAACATAAATCCAGGTCCAGGCACCAGTGATTTCTAATATAGTGTTTCGTATACATACTCGGCATATATTCCATGCACTATAGTTTTCTGTGAACAAGTCCTTCCAACATCAACAGACAAATGATCCTTCTGAAGTCCAAGCATTCTCTGCAAGATGTTAGAAGGGTTTGAATATCTCTATACACAACTGCATTGGAGCATCATATATGATTTTTTTTTTGAAAGTGTGTAACACTTTCTAAAAATGCGTATTGTGAAAGCGCAGCTGACTGTAGCGCAGCAAGGCAACTGCGAATTACCATTCGCCGAGTATATAACGAGGGTTGGAGGCCATTTGGCCTCCACCCACGTCTTCAGTCGAACTTTGTAGGTACAGTCCATTCTCGTCCAACCACTCGGTTTCCCGTTGTCATCTTGATTCTAGTACTACTTCGCAGACAAGCCACATTTACTACTTCGTTTTCCCCAACTCCTACGCACGCACTTCCCCGCATGTTCACCGTGAAGAGTAACAGTTTCAGACATGCGACTATACTTGACGTGCGTTCAATTGAAAGCGAAGTGCGCTGGAGGAGACAGCAACTGGTGCGCCAAGGACGAAATCGCCAGTGGCGCACGCCAAGGACAAAATCGCCACTGGCGCCAGTGGCGCGCGGCAGGGACGAAATCGCCACTGGCGCCAGTGGTGCGCGCTAGGGACGAAATCGCCACTGGCGCCAGTGGCGCGCGCTAGGGACGAAATCGCCATTGGCGCCAGTGGCGCGCGCCAGAGACTAAATCGCCACACGCTCGCCTGTGGCACTGCGTCAGTGGCGAAATCGCCACACGCGCGCCTGCGGCACGGAATCGCCAATGACGCGGCAGTGACACGAAATGCCTCTGCAGCGCCTAAGGTGTTTGACTGGGAGTCAACCTGGGAGTCAACCACCATATATAAGTGCTGCAAGTTCTGTTTTATTTTTTATTATTATTATTTCTCTTCGTTATGTCATCTTCTTCGTTGTCTATTAATCCCCTTGCCGTTTCAATCCCTCGGTGGCAGAAAAACGGTCTCAACACCACAGAAGTGGGACTTTACTAGTCGCGGTGGAAAAAATCGCACCAGCGACAGGATCTACTGCACGCACACGGAAGGATATCTCCAAACGAAATGATGGGGCCGAGGGTCACCGTGTGGCCTGAGAGTCGCTCCCCAGGGGGGGAAGGGGATCGAGGGTCCCTGTGCGACTTGTGAGCCGTTCCCCAGGGGGGAAAGGGGACCGAGGGTCCCTGTGTGGCCTGTGAGCCGTTCCCCAGGGGGGGAAGGGGACCGAGGGTCCCCGTGTGGCCTGTGAGCCGTTCCCCAGGGAGGGAAGGGGACCGAGGGTCCCCGTGTGGCCTGTGAGCCGTTCCCCAGGGGGGTAAGGGGACCGAAGGTCCCCGTGTGGCCTGTGAGCCGTTCCCCAGGGGGGGAAGGGGACCGAGGGTCCCCGTGTGGCCTGTGAGCCGATCCCCAGGGGGGGAAGGGGACCGAGGGTCCCCGTGTGGCCTGTGAGCCGTTCCCCAGGGGGGGAAGGGGACCGAGGGTCCCTGTGTGGCCTGTGAGCCGTTCCCAAAGGGGGGCAGGGGACCGAGGGTCCCTGTGTGACCTGAGAGGCGTCCCCAGGGGGGGCAGGGGACTGAGGGTCCCCGTGTGGCCTGAGAGCCGTCCCCACGCGGGAATACTACCCAAAGTCCTATGCTGGCCAGAGGGCCACTACCATGCAGACTCCAATGTTAGATGTGCAAAACCTTTAATTTTTGTATACGTTGATGTGGATCATCCTTGGACATTGCAATGTGTATACGATATAACATGAAAAAAAAAAAAAAAAACACACACACACACACACACATGAAGAGAGGAGGCTTTAAGCCCCATCTAATCTTTACTGTAAGCTCTTCAATCCACAATGGTTGGTTCGAAGCCCCACCTAAAATTGGGGGAGATTTTGTTTGGAGTGATCTGATTACAAAAGAAGGGGGAGATTTTGTTGGTAGAGTGCAACTAAGGAAGGCTTGTGAATCTCACTAGACCTAAACCTCAGTCATTGCTTCTTTTGCAGTGCAATGCGGAAGGAATACGGTACCGGCTTTCGCCATCGTGCGTTGCACATCCAACTTGTTCTATCGTACATGCTTGACAAGAAACGTGCGTGCTACCCATCAACAGTCCGCGCATCGTATGAACATGAATGTGCCGTTGGGAGTTACGGATTGAATTTTCGTGTCAAGAAAATGCTACGTCACGTTGGTGTTTATTTCAATTGCAGACACTCGTGTTACTACATTAACTGTATTGTATGCAGTTCCATAAACGATACAATTCTTGACAACTCGCGTTGTATTGTCAAGGAACATCAAACCGTTTGAAGTGCATAGCACATCTGGAACATTTGATTGCAAAATACAACTTCTACATTGTTTCACATTCTACACTGAGGGTCACGTCTGTTGTCAGAGGTTGTTTCCTAGGGGGAAAGGGGCATGGCATGAGATTTCTGTTGGCTAGAGGGTTGTTCCCCAAGAAAGGGAGGCTGGTATGACACTTGGTGTGGCCTTAAAATGGAGATGCTTATTAAGAGTTTGGTTGCAAGGAAGAGTCAACTTGCTTTCAAATGTGTCGCTAAATGCAAAGAGTAGGAGTCCAACGTTTATAGTCCCGTATATACAGTATGCTTGGATGCACGCACCATGCGGTGAACGTGGAAGCATATCGCCCAAACTCTCTCCCATTTGCGTATAATTTGCATGGTCATCGGCAAGCAAGCACATTATTTGGCCCGGCGTGGCCATATAGTAGTTTGGAGCTGCTCATGCAATCACCTAATCAAGGTCCTCATTACTGTATAGATCGACCCGTTGATGGTCGAATTCCCATACCATTTTGATACACCAGGAACTATTAGGTACTTGTTACAGAAAGCCTTGCTCGACTAAATACCGTACTCGCGCTGCGGTACTCTCCCTAAAGAACTGAAGGGATGAGCCAGCTCTAATCAATAATTGTAGATATGGGCCATGGCAATAGAGACAAGCGAGTGCTATGTTGAAAGAGCGTTGCTATACAATGACTGATCATTCTGCGAATCGAAATCCATATTCCAAATAATGACATGGTCGACATTTGCCTAGCGTTCATAAGGTGCACTCCCTCGCGCAACTCTCGCGCCTCAGACTACACCCAAGCCATCCAGCTCCTTCCTTGGGTTGCGATTCCTCATCATGATGGTCGTGCGCCAGTGGGCAATGTCAATTTATCCTCTCGTGTGTTCTAGCGAACACATGCGACCATGAATGACAGCTCATGACAATAATACTTATCCAGCATAAACTCAGTTGCTGTTCACTACGTCACATATTCAACAGATCAATACCAACTACTACCAGTTCCAACCATACTTTACCGCCGCACCAACAACCAGGATATCAAGGGAAAGAGCAACCTCCCTGAACAACAGTCCAAACCCCATCGACACGGCGATCGCAATCACCAACGGCACCCTCCTCAGCACGTTGTCGATGTCATCAACTGCAACTACACGTCTCCTACGTCCCCAATCGCACATGTCTCAGATGACCCAATTCTAATGAAGCACGTTGCCATTGCAAGAACAGAGAGCAAGCTTTCTCAATATGATTTTTTTTGAAAGTGTGTAACACTTTCTAAAAATGCGTATTGTGAAAGCGCAGCTGACTGTAGCGCAGCAAGGCAACTGCGAATTACCATTCGCCGAGTATATAACGAGGGTTGGAGGCCATTTGGCCTCCACCCACGTCTTCAGTCGAACTTTGTAGTTACAGTCCCCACCCACCCACCCTGGTCATATACATGTACAATTAATAGTTGGACGAGAATGCTGTAATTACCCCAATTCTAATGAAGCACGTTGCCATTGCAAGAACAGAGAGCAAGCTTTCTCAATGCTATATTATTCAAGTCTTGGCGAAACTGTTCATCGATGTGCACGCATACACCACGTCACCCTCTTTACACTCCAAGACGCTCAGGACTGCGCACATTCAAATCCGGCATTCTCATGCATCTGCAGGCGCTGCAGAAGCTCCATAGGCCTGTACGGAGAGATTGCATCAAACATAGAAGAACATTCTTTGTGGAATAACTAGTGGTGCAAAACAAGAGGCCAAATTGCAACAAAATACATACCACATCAACCTTGAGTTCACGAGGCATGGCTCTTCCCAAAAGGAGAATGGATGCAGTAAAAGCGAGGTGGAAGAAAGTTAACACTCACGCAAGGAACTCGCGAGGTCGGCGCATGCGCTGCTGGTTCTCCACCATCACTTGAATCATGTCGGCCGGCTCAGGCCCCCCCACCCCTGCTGCTACCCTTGATGCCAATGGTGCATGGGGCGTCCACAGCTGATGGGGGGAGGAGGAGGAACAGAGGCATGGGAATGAATTTGAAGGAGACTTAGGTGGGGATGAAGCAGGACGCAGGGAGAGGAAGGAAAAAGGGATGCGATCCGGGGAGAAGGATGCGAAGGAGATGGATCCATGGGAAAAAGGCCCAGAGGCAGCCAATCCAGACGCTGTGCCTCACCTTGATGGTATCATCGATGCCGCTGGTGGCCACACAACAGTCGACTGGGTGACACTGAATGCAGTTCACGACTGAAATTGGAATTGCGGGGAAGGGGAGGGAAGAGGGAAGCAGGGGGAGAGGGTATCAAGGGATCAAGTCATGAGGGATGAGGAGACGAGTGGGGGGATGCTGCTAATCAGCAGTCAATCGGGTGACACTGAAAGGTTCACCACTAGCATTAGAGTGAAGGGGGAGCAAAGGGAGAACGTCTCAGAACGGAGAGCAAATGGATGAAGAGGAGAGCAGGAGTATGAAGAGTTAGACAAGAAAGGAATGGAGGGGATCACGCACTGCCATGCACATCCATGCCATACCACAGCATACCATGAACCATGCCCATTCCTCACCCCACCACTCACCATGTTCGTCCCCTGTATACATCCTCACCACCCTGACAGTCCGCGTTTTCCACTCAAAGACTCGCCCATTCTCCCATGCACTGCCACGCATGTCAAACACCAACTGCCATGCGCTGCCATGCCATACATCACACCCTATCCTCATCCTTTCTCACCATGTCTCACCCCACCCACTCACCATGCTCGTCCCCTGTCAGCATCTTCACCACCCGGCCAGTCCGCTTCTCCCACACAAACCACCGCCCGTCGTCGCTCCCACTCGTCACAAACTCCCCCCGGTCGCCCAGAAACGACGCCTGCTTGATATCCGTCCCTGTGTTGCAGTGCCCCACAAACCGCTGCCGCATATCCACTGCCCTCATCCCCCTTTTCACCTCTCCCTCCTCTCCCTCCTCCCCCTCCTCCGTCTCCTCTCCCTCCTCCCCCTCCTCGTCCTCCTCCTCTCCCTCCTCCCGCGTGCCCACACTCCCGCCCCCCATTCTCCTCGTCTCTCCACCCGCCCCTCTAGCACTCTTCTCCCGTCGCACCCCCTCCTCCTCTCGGTCCTCCTCCCCCTCCCTGCTCCTCCTCAGTCGCAGGTTCAAACTCACCCTCCGTGCTCCCCCACTCACTTCTCCTCCTCCCACCCCTTGTCCTCCCCCTGCTCCTCCTTCCCCTCCCCCCCCTCCCACCATCTCATCTCCTGTGTCTTCCTCTCTCTCTTCTGCTTCAACGCCAGGACCCAGTCTAACGTCCACTCGAACCTGAAAATCCTCTTCCTCTTCCCCCTCCTCCTCCACTTCACCTTCCTCCGCACCCTCTGCCGCTAATCCCTCCTCCTCTCTCCTCGCCTCTCTTCCCTCATCACGCCCCTCTTCACTCACCCCTTCCACACGCCCCTCAACTCTACCGCCCTCTCCCCCCTCCCCTGCTCCCTGTGCTGCCACTAACCCTGCCCCTACTCCCTCTGCGCCCACTCTCCCTCGTCCTTCTGCCCCTGCTCCCTCTCTTCCCACTCGCTCCTCTTCCACCACTGCAGCTGGAGGCTCCTCCCTGGTCGGAACAAACCCTTCATTCTCGCTAAGCAAGTGCCCTCGCCGACGCGAGCGCGACCTAAGTAAGTCACTTAGCGAGCGAATGCTGATGCGCCTGTGTGGATTGCTGTGGCCGCTACCACTGCCACCAGCAGCACCACCACTTGCAATACCACTACCACCAGCAGCAGTAGCAGCAGTAGCACCTGTGGCAGCAGCAGCACCAGGAGCAGCAGAAGCACCAGCAGCACCAGGACCAGCATCCACCCCCCTGTCTGCCCCCACACTTTCTACATTTCCACCTACCCCTGCCTCTGCCTCTCTCCCAGCCTCTGTAGCTGCCCCTACCCCTGCCCCTGCCCCTGCCCCTGCCCCTGCCCCTGCCCCTGCCCCTGCCCCTGCCCCTGCCCCTGTCTCTCCCCCTGCTTCAGTTGCTGCTCCTACTCCTGCCACAGTCTCTGCATCTGAACCACCAGTAGCAACAGCCTCAGCAGCTGTAGCAGCAGAGGGACTGCCCCCGCTGCTGCTGGTGCCACTGCTGCTGCTGCTGCCCCCAGCCCACCCTCCCCCCCCTGTGTGCGGCTGTCCCCATGCGTTCAGGCGATTTTGCCGCCCCTCCTCTGTGGGGGAGGCGGAAGGGGAAGGGGACGCGGAATGGGGAAGGGGGAACGGGTAAGAAACGAAGAGAAAACGTCAGTATTGGAGAGAAAAGAAAACGTGTTTAAGAGATGGAAACATGAGACAAGAATCTGGGTTGTCTCAAACGAGGAAAACCCTTTGAGGTACCTCGTGAACCCAGAAATGAACCTACCTGCAGTTATACATGAGCATCGAGGGGGGGGTTTTAGCTCGACTCGTCCGAGATGCTCGTCAGGGGACGAGTGACGAGCCCGTTTTTTTTCTGAAAAGTACTCGACCGAGGCGAGTCGAGTTTAACTCGGCGAGCTTTTGATACTCGTCAATTGCTCGCCACTCTTGACGAGTTTTTTGTGGCTGGTTTTGTGCTCGTCGAGTTTTTTGGAACTCGACGAGCATGAAAAGCTCGTCGCGTAACTTTTGCCAGGGATTCATTTTGGCGGGAAATTTTGGGCCCAGATCTGAACCCTCAAAGTGTTCCCAACCACTTTCGCCAACACAAACACAATCAACCCGTCCTGAACTGATGCTTCCCCACCCGTTCGAACAGTTCAGTGTGTTTAGGTTAACACACACACGGTGCCATTAGTAGAGCCGCGCACACACCTTACCTTAGCATAGCCCGCGCGATTTGTGTAACGCCAGGCGCTTTAGCGAGAACACTGCAGTTACGTTAGTTTAAGTTATTAGTTTGGGTCCACTAATCGATTTCCAGCTAAGCGCAAGTTTAAAACGGAGTTATAAGTACAATGCCTAAGGCACGCGATAAGGTGCTGGCGTCAAAGAATAGGGGTGGGTCAGCTGGTGGCGGCCGTGGCGTAGGTCGCGGTAAGGGTAAGGAACAGGTCGCCGCCTCTCATGGCGGAATCACTCCAAAGGAACGGCGCCAACTGAAGTGGGTGGCGGGGAAGGATGATCGCGAAAAGGTCGCTAAGGCTGCACCTGCATGGCCTGGTGGCGCGAAGGGGGGGGAGGGGCCGGTGGTTCTCGGCGGGATCCGCTTGAGGATAACGAAGTTGTGGGCGCGTATGAGCAGGAGTATCGCGGCGACGTTGAATATGGTATGGGAGAAACGGACGTATTTTTGAAAAACAGAGTTGACTTTTGAGTCGACTCAAAAGTCATTTTGAGTCGACTCAAAAGTCGAATATGGTATGGGAGAAACGGACGCCACGCGAAAAACAGACCATGAGAAGGGGACGGAGGGGATGGAGGGGGACGAGATACAGGAGGACGAGGCGGAAGGGGAGGAGGGGGGAAATGCCGATGAAGATGCGGAGGAAGGGGATGGGTGTAGTGGATCTGAGGAGGACGAGGAAGAGGATGGCAGTGGTAGTGGAGACAACTCAGAGGAAGAAGTATATACTGGGGGGGAAGGGGAGGAGGCGGACGACGTTGACAAGGCGGCTGACTTTGTGGACTTTGTTGACGAAGGGGGTGAAGATGATGAGGGCACTGAAGGTGAGAAGGGAAACAAGCGGCAGAGGGGTGGGGGAGGGAACCAAAACAAGGCGTGCGGTGGAGGTGGCAAGCGCAAGCGGCGTGGGGGTGGACGGGGGAAAGGTAGGGGCCGAGTAGAAGGGGGGGGTCGTGATGGAGCGAGGGGTAGCGGGAACCTGGGTACTACGGAGGAGGGTGAGGCAGTCATTGCCCCAGTACGCACCACAATGTCTGGACGGCCTATCCACGCGGCCACAGGGAGACCCATGACGGGTTACGTGACCCGTTGTTTTGAGGAGATGGCGGGGGAAGAGAGGTTGCGTCGCTGCCGCAAGTGCAGCAAGATGATCTCATTTGTGAGCGGGAACGGGAAGACTGACAGGGCTCACATGGAGGGGCTGCATAAGCACCACTATGCCATATGGTTGCGGAATTTTAATGAGGGGGAAATCGGGCCTGACGACTACTTCCCGGAGGGGGGCTATGGAATGGACAATGAGGTTCCAGACGGGAAACTAGCTTGGGAGGGTTCGGCTATGTGGCCGGCACCGCCCCCAATCGCTGTGCCAGGGCAGTCAGGACAGCAGCGGCTGACCCAATACTACCCCGAGCGCTTCGACAAGGATGTCCTCTAGCAGGCCATGGTGGAGTTCGTTGTGGCGGCCGACCAGGCCTTCAGCGGCGTTGACCACCCCACCGTAAGCCCACCCATACCTTCTCGCACACGCCGTCGTGTCTCAATCACGTGTACAGTACTATGTCATAGTGTTTTGCTAACACTAGAGCTTTGTCATCACTTCTACGTCTCCTTTTATTGAAGTCGTGGTTGCTGTAGTTTAACTAACCCTCTTCAAACCCCCTTTTCCCAAACCTGCCCGCCTCCTGTGCAGTTTCGGCGAATGATGATCGCCTCCAACCCTGCATGTGCAGAGGAGAAAGTCATCCCGAGCCGCTCCACTCTAGCCCGCCAGATCATTCGGTTGGCAGGTCTGGCCAAGAAGAAGCTCAAGCAGGAGCTCCTTGCTGAGGGGTCAAAGGCTGTCGCACTGACCCATGACATATGGGCTGGTGCGAACCATCGGTCCTACATGGCTGTCACGGGCCATTCCAACTCGAAGGACTTTGAACTGCGGCGGGTCACACTAGCGTTCCGCGCACTTCCAGGCGACCACACCAGTAAGAAGATAGCCGAGGTGGTGGAGGACGTGGCGAAGGACTGGGACCTAGAGGGACGGTGCATTGCGGTGACGTCGGACAACGCATCGTCCAACGTCGCCGTGATGGAGTTCCTATGTCGCGGTGGGCCAGGGGACCGCCAGCCTCCCTTGTGTGTCACAGTCACCCGTATCCCGTAGGCCCTAACCATGCATGCATGCATGCAAATCTCCCCCTACCCGTGTTTAGAATCTGCCCTGCCCATCCCCGTTTTCCGTCCAGGTGCCCAGCACACATCTGTAACCTGGCTGTACAACTAGCGTCAAAGAAGGTGCTTGACATAACGCTCCCTCTGGCAATCCTACGGGACCTGGCCTCGTTCATTGGGTACTCGCCCAAGCGGACGGCGACGTTCGAGCAGGCCCAGAAGGACGAGAACTTCAAAAAGATGCTGCGTCTTCGCCAGGACAACGAAGTGCGCTGAGGCTATACCTATCTCATGCTCGAGCGCGCTCTCCGCCTCAAGCACATCATCATCATCATCATCATCATCATCATCATCATCATCATCATCATCATCATCATCATCATCATCATCATCATCATCATCATCATCATCATCATCATCATCATCATCATCATCATCATCATCATCATCATCATCAACAACAACTACATCAGGCGCGCCGATGTGAGTATGTGTGTGTGACAAGATTACGACATGCACTGACTCATTTCCTGGTCAATTCGATGCAACGCGCTTAACCTGAGCATTCTGCCTCTCCTTCCATATCCCCCTCTCTCACCACCCACGTGTAGAAAGTAGATTTTTGAGACGTCTCAAAAAACGTTTCCTGGTCAATTCGATGCAACGCGCTTAACCTGAGCATTCTGCCTCTCCTTCCATATCCCCCTCTCTCACCACCCATACACACCACCCACTCCACACTCACCAACTCCAGGGAATGTCCGAGAAGGCTGCTGCCGGCCTTCAGGCCCTCACCATCAACAAATCCCGGTGGTTGGCCCTGGAGGAGCTGCGCGACTTCCTCCAGCCCTTCCACTCCGTCACCCTGGCGGCGGAGGGTTCGTCATACCCCACCATCTCAAGGGTGGTCCCGCAGTTCAACGAACTGTTGGACAGCCTTGAGCGGCTCCGGGACCGTGTTTCTCCCCCCACCTCCCAGATCATGAAGGTGTGCGTCGAGGTGGCGATGGAGAAGCTGCAGGAGTACTACGCTAGCAGCAAGGATGAGCTGTGGGTGACCACTTTCCTGGATCCGAGCTTCAAGATTGGCTATTTCCAGATGGGGACCGAGGGGATGGGGGAGGAAGAGGGGAGTGGACATGTGGTGGGTGCACAGCATGTGCGGGCCGATCAGATTTTGGAGTTGGTACGAGAGAAAGTGCGCCCGTACAAGGAGAAGGCGCTGGAGGCTCGGAGGAAGCGGGAGGGGACTAGTGGAGGTGGTGGGGGGGAGACCGGATCAGTTGGGGCCAGCAGCAATGGCCGACAAGGAGGAGGTGGGGGCAGCAGAAGCGGCAACAGGCTTGCCTCTGATGTCTTCGGTGGCACTGTGGGGGACAAGATGGGTTTGGTGGCGAGGCTGGCGGCTTTTCGCAGCCGTCAGGAGCAAACAACTCGCGATGAGGTGCAGATCTACATCGATGAGCAGATGGAGCCGTTGGGGGTGTGTGCGCTAGCGTACTGGCGCTGCCGGAACGACCTAGAGGGCCTACAGGCGATGGCACTCGATTACCTTGCCATCCCCGCGACCTCGGCTGCGAGCGAGCGCACGTTTTCGCAGGGCCGCAACCTCATCACCTGGCAGCGGCATAGGCTCGGCCCTGAGCGTGTGGAAGCATGCTTCATTCTCAAGGCTTGGGTTGACTTGAAACCCGGGTGCAAGCTTGGGAAGGAGGCAAAGGATCTGCTGGCCAAGGCGGAGAAGGATGCCGTGGGTCTGGAGATTGATGACGAGTGAAGTGGGTGGTGGGCTTGTGTGATCGGGTGGACGGCGCTGTTGAAGGGGATGGGTGGGTGGGGATGAGAGTCGATGCTGCTGCTGCAAGGGGAGAAGGCATGAGTGGTGGGATGGCGGGTCATATTTATAGCTAATGGGTGGTTCGTTGTTGCTAAACTGCATGTTGCTTCTCACCAAGCGCACGCTCACCAGGGCGCTAGACCTGGCCCCTTGTTAAATTATAACATGCACAGGGTTGTCTAGTGGCATTAGGTGAACCCTTGAGGTGCCATTACTGTGGGTTGCTGCAGGGTATCCTTGGGCGTTTCATGGGGTACCTGGGTCCCGCTCAAGGTTCTCTGGTTTATCACCAGGCATCCATGAGGTTTCCTTGGGCTCCCATTGCTTCCCTAGACTTCCCGTGCTACCCATCCCTCCCACAATACTCTGGAGTGGCCTGGCTATATGATTTTTTAGGGTGGATAATGTATTAGTAGGGCCACTGGTGCAGGCAACTTGGGGCGAGTCGAGCATTTCATTGCTCGGACGAGTATTCTCAGATGCTCGCCCGAGCATGTACCAAATCAACGAGTCTTGAGTAGGCAAAAAGTTCAAAAAAACTCGTCAGAGTAATACTCGACTCGCCCCCAAAGCTCGACGAGCACAGTCTGTGACGATTCGAGTATTACTCGACTCGTCACCTTGACCATGTCTACCTGCAGTAGCCATCTTGACTCACAGGGACATGACATGTGAAGTGAGGCGAGGTGAGGTGGGGTGGGGTGGGGTGAGGTGATGTGCGGTGAGGTGAGGTGTGGTGAGGTGAGGCGTGGTGAGGTGAGGTGTGGTGAGGTGAGCTTGGTGAGGAAGGTTGAATTGCGATTAGGGGCTGTGATTACCTGCAGCAGCCATCTTGGCTCGCAGAGACACCACGTAGGAGGAGAGGTTGCTGTCAAACATGGCTGCTCGCTCTGCAAACTCCACCGCCTCCTGATGCTGGCCCAGCTGCAAGGATGAACGAACACACGGGAAGGGTTGGAGTTGGGGGTCAACGAAAGTCAACAAGGGTCAACGAAGGCAAGCCCACCTGGGAGAGGCCATGCCGCCATGGGACGCTGGACACTAAGGTAGAGAAGAGAGCCAGATGGACTGGAATGGCCAGCTTAGTGCCTAAGCAGAACTGTGCATGTATTAAGTAGGTACTACTAAGTGCTAGAATGCAATGGGAGAAGAATAAGTAGGTAATACGAAGTGCTAGAAAGCAATATTAAATGCAGCTCAATCTAACCGAGTCAACACAGGTCAACAGGGGTCAACAAAGGTCAGCCTGCCTGGGAAAAGGCACTTGCCGTGTAGAGATGAGCGCGGATGGACGTGGGGAGGGGCAGGCAAGCAGTGTCAACCAGATCGTATGTACTATGTTCTACAATGCAAAGTCAATGGAGGTCAACGGAGGTCAACGGGTCCACGGAGGTCAACAGGGGTCAACAGGGGGTCAACCTACCTGGGAGAAGGCATGGGCCATGTAGAGATGAGCGCGGATGGATGTGGGAAGGATCCGCCTGGCTTCGTTACAGTCACACAACACCATCAGATCGTCATTCTTCCATCCCCTCTGTAAGATCACAGCAGAACAGATTGAAAGGGCGAGAATCATTTCATAGAATCAAACAGCTCTCCTAACAGCAACGGTGATTATCTTTGAGCCAACATAATTAATGGTGGATGAGAGTTTAAATCAGCAAAAAAAAACTTCGCATGCCGACTCACCTCCAACATTGCAGCAGCTCTGGTGCACAGAGCATCGTGCTGCACACCTGGACCAATCACATCGCCCCCCTTCCTCCAACACCACACTGCACAGGTTTATCGCCAGGCTGGCCCTTTGCCCTACACCAAACTCAGCAATGGAAACCCATAACGACTCACCTCCAGCATTGCAGCAGCCCTGGTGCAGAGTGCATCGTGTCTCACCCCCGGCCCAATCACATCCCCCCTCTCCTCCAACACCGCACTGCAGAGGTCCATCGCCAGACTGACCCTTTGCCCTTGCTCCTAAACCAATTTCAACGATAGTCACCCATAAGTACTCACCTCCAGCATTGCAGCAGCTCTGGTGCAGAGCGCATCGTGCCGCACACCCGGCCCGATCACATCGCCCCCCTCCTCCAACACCGCACTGCACAGGTCGATTGCCAGGCTGGCCCGCCGCCCAGACGCCACCTGCTGAGCCCGCGTGCTCTCCCTTGATGCCCTCCTGCCGGCCCCACCTAACGCAGCACCTGAGGCGGCACCTGAGGCGACACCTGAGGCGGCACCTGGGGTGGCACCTGGGGTGGCACCTGACACCCCTCCCTGCCCCTCTCCCCCCTCGCCTGCTGGTCGGGCTGCTTCTGACTCGGCCTCTAGGCCGAGAACTATCGCAGAAGCTTCCTCCAATAGCTGCTCGCACTCTTGCAGCTGGAGAAGGGAAGGGACGGAAGGAGCGGAGAGAAGGAGGAAAAGTCAGGGCACGAAGTCAGAAGGGGAAGCCTCATGGAAAAGATAACTGGAGAAGGAAGGCCAGAAGGGAAGACAGAGGGCGCTTATAAGCCAACAGGGAGAAGCCGGAAAGAGGAAGAAAAGCAGGAGACGAGGAAGCAAAAGAGGAGAAGAGGAAGAAAATCAGGAGAACTGGGAGGCAAAGGACTGCACAGCGTGGAAGTAGCAGGATGCCAGGGTGGAGGTGGGGGTTTATGGGTGAGGGACGGGGGTGGGGTTGGGGCTGGGGTGGGTGGGGGGTTGGGGGATTGGGGGGACTGAGCAAGCAGGGTGAGGGAAAGAAGCAATGGAATTCAACCCACTAACCTTTGTATAATCCCTGTCCCTTGGTCCCAAGCCTGGGCCCATGGCTCGGTCCCGAACCACTCCTGCCCGAGGCAATTCAGCCCGTCCATTGGTGTACCTATCCCACACGCTGCTGCTGCTCGCGTTGCCGAACCTGTCACTCTGCTTCTTATCCTTCTCTCCAAGGCTAACAGGCTGGGAGGGCTTAGTTGAACCGGGTTTGGGAGTATGGGGTTTTAGGCGAGGAGAAGAGGGCTTATGTTGGTTCTCTCTTCTGTGCTCCAAATCAGGTTCTTGCCACTGTTGCTGCTGCTGCTGCTGCTGCTGCTGCTGCTGCTGGTCTGGTTGGCAAAACCCGTTAGTGCGGCCATTGCTGCTGCTAGTGGTGGTGCCAGTGGTGTGATTGTAATGAAGGTCCGAGGGTTTGAGAGGAGTCAGCCTGTGAGACGCCGCCACGTCAGCAGGCGTGTAGATCATAGACGGCAGGGTTGCTGAGAAAGAAGCGAAGAGAGAACAGAGCAGAGGGGGCATGGAGGAAAGGGAAGGTGGGGGAGGAGGAGGGCGGGGGGTAAGGGGGGGAGGAGGAGGGCGGGGGGTAAGGGGGGAGGAGGCAGAAGGGGGGAATTGACCTTAAGGCGCTTCAAAGAGGGCCTGTGAGAAGCTGCCATGCCCGCAGGCATGCAGTGGATGGAGGGCAGGGTTGCTAGGAAAGAGGCAAAGAGAGAACAGGAATTAATTGAGCAGGCAGCGTGGGGGGTGGGAGGTGGGAAGGGAGACTTGTTTTTTAAGCGCTTCAGAAAGTTTGGGAGAAGCTGTCATGTAAGAAGCTGTCATGTAAGAAGCACCATGGATGTCACAGTGAGAGAAGAATGAGGGGAAGAGGAGGGACGGGGGGAAGGGGAGGGTATGCAGGAAGAGGGGCAAAAGATGATGGGAATAAGGACGGAACAAACATAACGAGGGAGGTAAACCGAGGAGCTTCAGAGTGATGTCCAGTTACAATTGTTTCCCAAACGGATAAACACCTGTTCACATCAGAGTGCATATCGCTTCTGAGATTTCCCAAGTGACTCCAAGATCACAGAGATGCTATGCTCAGTGATCTCCTCCTGCTACAACTGCTTCTCAAACGGATCAACATCTCATCTCCACGCACTTTAGAGTCTGAAGCTGAGAGCACACCACCAACGTGCACCAACTCTCTCCCCTCTCCCCTCTGCCCTCTCTCAACTCCCCTATCCCCTCTCCCCTCTACCCTCTACCCTCTACCCTCTACCCTCTACTCTCTCCCTATCCCCTCTCCCCTCTCCCCTCTCCCTCATCCCTCCTCCTTCTCCCCTCTCTCTGTCATCTCCCCTCTCGCTTCCCTCCTCTCCTTCTCACCTTGGTCCAGGTCAAACAGGTACACGTGCTCGCCACTGTAGCTCAGCAACGCCTCCTCCCCATTGGCTGAGAAGGCCACGTGGGTCAGATGCAGGCCTGACCTCCCTTGCTGAAGTCCCAGGGGCAGGCGAGCAGGGTATGGGGAAGTGAAAGGGAAAGCGGAGGAGGGGTTGAGGGGGTTTGTGAGTGGGGCGGTTGGAGGGTGTTAAATTGGGCAGGTTGGTGCATGGAGTGGATGGAGTGGAAACATGAAACAGAGGGAGGATATGGAAAGAAAACACAGCCTTGTTGGGAAACATAGGGACTATTTAGAAAAAGACTATCTGAAGAAGAGCAGGAGCAGAGAGGGGTGCTGCGAGGTGATGAGGAGTTCTGAAAGGCGCTGAGGAATGGTGACTGGTGTTGAAAAAGACTGGAAGGACGTACCGGTTCAGAGAGGTGGCTGGGGGCGAGCAGGAGCAATGGGGGCGGAGGCTTGGGTTGAGGGGAGGCGCGGGAGAGGGAGGAGGGCGATGGGAGCATTCGGCGATCGTAGATACGAGCAAAGGCGTCACTGCGAGGGGCGAGGGCGAGGAGGGGTGGCGAGGGGCGGAGAGGGGTGAGGAGAGGGGCAGAGGGGTGAGGAGGCAGAGGGGTGAGGAGAGGGGTGAGGAGAGGGTGAGGAGAGGGTGAGGAGAGGGGCAGAGGGGTGAGGAGAGGGGTGATGAGAGGGGCAGAAGGGCGAATGCAAACTCAGGGTACGTTTCAAGCTGTCTCAACAGGCGAATGACCGGAGAGGGCGATGGGATCATGCAATGGCTGTATATGTGAGCAAAGGCATCACTGGGAGGAGCGCGGGGCGGAGGGGCGAAGAGAGGGTTTAGGGACAGAGGATCGGGGAGAGGCACACGTGTCGAAAAGGACAGAGGCACAAGTGTCGAAAAGGACAGAGGCACGCGAAATCACTAGGTATAGAGAGGAGGAGGGCGACGGGAGCATGTGGGGGGTTGTAGGTGCGAGGAAAGGCGTGACTGGGAGGGGCGAGGGGCAGAGGGGCGAGGTGGGGAAGGGCGATGCAACCATGCAATGCAGCAAATCTCCTTCCAGTCGAAGGTTCAGGGGCTCAGCTTTCCCTCCTTCAGAGCAACATATACCTTCGTCTCCTTCATATCACATGGAGATTCGCTATTCCGAATCTTCCTTACCCTCACGATAAGTGCAAACTCACCTCCCCCCCACCATCAGCAGGTGTGGCCGGGTCGGGCTGATGGCACAAGACTTGAGAGCCAATGAGTCGCGAGGAGGATCTTCGAGCGAAACTTTTCCTGCTGCCCGGAGGTCAAGCTGGGAAGGTAGCCAAAAAAGGGGGAGAACAAAGAAAGACATCAACGAGAAGAACAGGAAAGTGCATGCTTGTGACAGGGGCGTGTGGTGGATGGAAGGACCGGAGGCACTAGAGGCGAGGAGAATGCAACCAGCAGAGCCTCAGTGAGGGGAGGGGTTGAGGCGGAACACATGGCCTACAGACAGGGGCACTGGCGAGCAAACCGGCACACCGCGACATTCTGAAGCGCCGTGAAAGAGGGAGTGGTGGAGAGGGGAGTGTGAGGAGCGTGAGTGGAAGGGGGGAGTGCAAGCTGGTGTGACCGTGTGAGTGGAAAGCAGATGGCAAGCGAAGGGGAGGATTATATGCATACCAGCACACAGCGGCATTCTGAAACGCCATGTAAGTGGGAATGGAGGAGAGGGGTGTGAGCGGGCGTAAGTGAAAAAGGGAGGAGAGGGGGGCATCGGTTGGCATACCAGCACACTGCGGCATTCTGAGGCGCCGTGAAAGAGGGAGTGGTGGAGAGGCGAGTGCGGGCGCGCGTGTGTGGTGGGCGGAGGACAGACAGACGTCTCTCTCAGGTCGTGCTGGCGCAGTGTGGCGTCCTCGCTCGCACTCCACACCACATGCGGATTGCCCTCCTCCACCTGCTCGTTACAGGCACACAGAGAGGTGCAAGCACACACACATGCAGGAACGACAGGGGCGGACAGGGGCGGAAAGGGGCGGAGAGAGGAAGAGATGAGGGTGTGAGGTAATGAAGGAGGGCAGACAGACGTCTCTCTCAGGTTGTGCTGGCGCAGTGTGGCATCCTCACTCGCAGGAGCAGCCAAAGGAAGAGGTGATGGTACAGCCAAAGGAAGAGGTGATGGTACAGCCAAAGGAAGAGGTGATGGTACAGCCAAAGGAAGAGGTGATGGTACAGTCAAAGGAAGAGGTGATGGTACAGCCGAAAAGCTGCTTCTTTCAGGTTATGTTGTTGCGTTGTTGTGACAAACACGGTCGTGGCCCTTGGATTGTGGCACCTACATTGGAGTCTCTTCACAAATTCCTAAAAAGTGACTCCAATCTCATCTCACACTCACCGCAAGCTTCTTGACCCGTCGGCTGTGGCACCGGAACATTGCTGCCTGCTCTGATTGCTGCTAGTCTGAGGCAAATAAAGGCATTTAAACCACACGAATCCTATCTCACACTCACCGCAAGCTTCTTGACCCGTCGGTTGTGGCACCGGAACATTGCTGCCTGCTCTGACGAATGGGACGGACCGCCGGATCCAGACGAATCATGCCGACCAGCGCCGGGCAAGCCAGTTGCAGTGGGGGAGGATGACGTGGCAGGGGCAGGAGCAGGGGAGCGTGAGAGCCTGTGCACTCGCACCTGATTGGGTGAGGGAGAAGGGGGAGATTGTGGGAAGAAGGAGGTGAGAGAACAAATGCGAGATTTGTGCAGAGGGTAGGAGCGATGAAGCTAGAGAGTAGGTGCAAGCCTGATGGGAGGAGCAAAAGCTCAGAAACAGAACATTTATACGCCCCTCCGAAATGAAGCATGTCGAGATGGCCGAGTTGGTCTAAGGCGCTGGATTAAGGTTCCAGTCCGAAAGGGCGTGGGTTCAAATCCCACTCTCGACACTTTCTTCCTGTCAGTTTTGCTGCACTGGCATGCTGATTTTGAGCATAGCAGGCCCAGTGGTAATTGAACATCGCCAACTCCTCTTCCCCCTTGCCCCATTCCACTCCTGCAGCAGCAGCTCCTTTTTCTTCCTGTGTGGATGCTACTGCTATCTGTCTTCTCTGCCTCTCTCCTCTAGTCTCCCTCGTCTCCCTTATCACTCTCAGCGCCATCTCATTCAGTTACAAGAGGCAGGGCTTTTTCTCATCCCCTTCCTACCTTCTGTCCTGTCCCACCTGTCCCGCCTCCCAACCCCTCTCCCACCATACAGCACGAGGCAGGGTATTTCCTCATCTCCTACCAGGTGGGCATCCCCCCACGCGGCTTCACTCTCTCCAGCTGGATGCCTATCAACGCCTATCCCTCCTATCAGCACTACGAGGCTCTAGGCCAGCACATGGTTCCCTGTCTCGGGCATGAACCGCGCACAGAAGATGTTGCCCGAGTGGCCCAAACGCGCACTTAGCCCAGCTCAGTGCCCTACTCCCCACACCATTCTTCCTCTTCCCCCCTCCCCTCTCACCTCGTTGTCCCCGGCGCCAGAGGCTAACACATCATCCCCTGTCTCGGGCATGAAGCGCACACAAAAGATGTTGCCCGAGTGGCCCGAGTCCACAGAGTGCACCAGCCGCCGTGAGCTGTAGTCCCACACGTTCACCTGCAGAGAAAAGGGGGGTGGAGGACGGGGGTGGGGGGAAGATGGCGGGGAATGAGCATATTGGTCAAGAGAGAGGAGAGCACACAGAAATGTTGCCTGAGTGTCCCAAGTCAACTGAGTGCACCAACTGCCGTCGCAGACGGGAAAGGGGGGAAGAGGGATGGTTGAAGCGACAAGAAACATGTCGAGATCTTTCCAGCCAATGAACGCAGGCTATAAGCCGAGCTGGTATCCCTAGTACATTCACTTGTGGATGAGGAAGCAGTGTTAAGAACAAGGACCAGGACCAGACTGAAAATTACCGTCCCAAATTCCGGCAGTCAGGGACCAAGAGCGATATATATTAAAAAAAAAGTACCACCAAAACCGAACAGCACGATAAATGACTGAATTTGCCATGGTAGAATGCATCAGTGAATGCATCCAGACAAAAAGCACCCAGCATCAGAGACGTGAGTGACAAACTAAATCACCGTTCTTATAAGAGCTTACACGATAAGAGAAAACAAACATAAGAACGTTGAAGGCGTCCGTACCATGAAATCATCAGAACCAGATAGGAGGAGAGAACCGGATCGATTCCACGCTATAGCGTTCACGCACCCTCGATGACCCTGAGGGGAGGAGTTGCAGATTCAGGTTCAGGCAGTGTGATACATACGAGAACAGGTTCAGGACATATGCTTCACGGAAATATTCAAAACAGTTTTTAACGGCTACTTATAAAAAAGCCAACAATAAGCAACTAAGCTTCAGAATTTGTGGTCTACACTACAATCAGCAAATTAAGAGGTTGTGAAAAAAACGCCAAAGAAGGTTACTTCAAATGCAACAGTTCATAAACAACCAACCACCGACCTCCATGACGGTCTCTAATGCGAGGCGTGACACTAACGAAGGGTGGAACTGCATCCGGCGCGCGAAATCATGCTCGCAGTAAGGGGGAGACACCTGAAACAGCCACGCGGGAAATCACACAGGCAGGAATGCCAAGCGAGACATTAAAATAAGTAGAAACTAATACATATGGAGCACGAGATCATGCTTGGGGTAAGTAAGAGACGCCCGAAACAACCACAGGTGTAGGGATGCCGAGGGACACAGAAGGAGACTTATTAAAAAATAATAATGTTCACGAAAATACTGGAGTTGTTTCGAAAACTCTTAACAAGTATGAAGCGACTTCATTTATGCTAGGCGTCAAACAAACTACTCTCGAAGTCGTTCCCACACCTCGCGCGAGTCGAGTCGGTGTCCCTCGAGCAGTCCGAAAATGTTTCGGTCCATCCGACGGATGTGATGCTCCCTCTCCGTCGCCATCTTCCCAAAGCCGATCGTAGCCATATGTTTTTCTCGGTAGTTAAGCAGTTACGACTTATCTTGCTCAATTAAGATAGCTTGAATAAGCTGCTGTCTTGCTTCCTGATGCAACCGCTTCTACAAGGAAATACTTCTCTGACTCTGAATAACAGCCTGTACTGTCAGACACGGAAAAAACTGGTGTCTGGGTGATTATCTTAGTTCAATGCTCTCAGATAAACGCTGCTAAACGCGAGAGTAAAAAAATCCTAACCAAAGACCGTGTTCGTCGCTGCTACTGCTGAGACTTCCACACAAAAGCGAGCATACCCTGGGCCCATGGTCTACCCGCGTCAAGCTAGCTTCTGGTTTCTCTAGGACCTTCGACTTTCTGCATGTGAGAGCTGAATGTGAAGCCCCAGCGGTATTGTCGGAAGGGAAATTTGGTGCAGGGACGGATGTATGGTAGCACCTTTTCGGGCCCTGAACGACGTTTCTGAACACCCTTGAGTTTCAAAGGCTGACAGATAAATCCCACCTGACGTGGGTTTCATTTCCCTGGTGCACAGCACCAGTTGTTGCAGGGTACTGATGCTGGTCTGATCATACCTGAAACAGGTGTCACTTGTGGAACAGCCTTCGGTGTCAGTGTTTTTCAGGGCGAGTACCAAAACATGAGCTTGGACACATGCAGGTGCGAAAGGTGAATTTGGTGGTGCTGCTGGTCCGCCCCATAACAAGGATGGGGTGGGGCATAACAGGGTGGATGGTGAAATAACATGGCTAATGAGCATTTGACTACCATAACATCAGAGAATTGTATGCAAGAAAAAAACCATGGAAAGTGCAAATGTGTAGGAGTGACAGCCTTATTTCGTTGTTTGTTGATTCCCTATTTTAAAATAACAACAGATTATTTCCTTTTAAATAAGTTCATAATGAGGCTGACTCAATACGAACTTACTGTGAAGATAGACATTTTAATGTCAACCAGCTGAACATGTATAGAACATTCATGTGAATATACTGGTACATCGACTAAAATCGAGGTTTGCTAATGAGCTATTTTAAAACGCGGAACTCTCCCAGCCCCCAGACTCACCGACGTGGACGGGACAGCGTCGCACCGCAATCCCGCTGGCGAACCGTCCTCCGTGTACAGGACACCTTGATGCCAGCACACTCGCACGCACCCCCACCTCAGCTCTGCCCAACGGGACTTCACCGCAATAGTCATTTCTCGATTTTTGTTTCGCGCACCGCGCATTTCTGCGCCTCGAGAGAGTCAAGGAGCTGGTCTTGCATCCCTCTCGTATCCATCATGAGGATCTTTGGGGAGGGACCGAGTTTCCATTCCTCTTCCTCGTGTTTCCAGCTCAGTTGTCCAGCTTGTTAGCGTCCGCACATCGTCTTTTAGCATGCATATGACGTGTTACTTCCACGACTCGACTACCCCTCGTAGCTTCCGTCCGGTTAGCCTCGAAACCACCGACTCTTAAGTGGTCATGGCGCGTCCCTCCGGCCAAGTTTTGACCTACAGGATTATGCGACAGCCCTCGATTCTTCCAGTACTCCATGGTTCCCCTTCTTCTTCCACGATGCTTCCATCTGTGCGTATAATAGCTGCGCAGGGCCTCTTAGAAATGATTCGTCAGACACTCGTATCGTCCCCTCTCGAACCCACAAGGAGCCGCGCAGAGGCTCGTGAAGCTGTTTACCTCGAGAAGCTAAGGACAAACAGTTCATCTGACGCCACTGAGGTTACTCTGATAAAACTCGAGAATCCTTTGGGTCAACACCCGTTCCGCGAAATAGCACAACAGTATTAGACACTTGCACTGAAGCTTCACTACACTGAAGCTGCGTTATAATGTACCCTGTGGCTTTAATCGAAGACCTCGACCCGAGCCGCCCGACGTCGTTCCAGCTCCTAGGCCGCGACTTGGTGATCTGGCGCGACTCGCAGGGCATCTGGCGGGCGCACGCGGACCGTTGTCCGCACCGCCTCGCGCCGCTCTCCGAAGGCCGTTTGGACGAGAACGGGTTGCTACAGTGCCCGTACCACGGCTGGTCGTTCCGAGGCGACGGGACGTGCGCGGTCATCCCCCAAGCTTCGGACACAGGCCCGGAGTCCCGAGCCTGTTCCTCTTCCCGAGCGTGCGTAGCTTCGTACCCGGCCCTGGTTTCCCAAGGGCTTCTGTTTGTCTGGCCGGAAGAGGGGCGATGGGAGGAGGCGTTAGCTGTCGAGCCGCCGCGATTGCCGGACGTGTTTGAAGACGAGGGGTTCTCGAGTGTGACTATACAGAGGGACCTGTATTACGGATTCGATACGCTCATGGAGAACGTATCTGACCCTTCCCATATCGAATTCGCGCATCACAAGGTACGAGTTACACTGGGTACGCGTTACAAGGCACAAATGATGTGATAGCAACCACTGACAAGCTCAACCCCACCCCCCTCCTCCCCCCCCCCCCCTCTCCTTTTTTTTTTTTGGCTTCTTAGACGGTCATCCAAGTAGAATGACTCTGGACTGGAAGTTTCCTCCTGCCCGTATTGTTGCGCCTGGTTACCCTGTTACAGGTCACGGGGCGAAGGGACCGAGCCAAGCCACTGCCCTTCAACATCACATCCAGTGGACCGTTCGGATTCGCGGCGACCACCGATACAGGCACATCCGCTACTGTCACACCCACCAAGAGCCCCGATACAAGCACACCTGATGTCACCACTGCTGATGACGGCGCAACCCCTCGTATTTCCTCCTGGTTCATGGCCCCCTGCTCTTTCTTCAGCCGAATCGACCTCTTCCCCACCATCCCCGTTATAGGCAGGCAGCACTGGCAGCTGTGGATCTGCTCCTTTAACGTCCCCATGGGTCCCGGGAAAACGAGGTCGATTGTTTGCAGCGCGCGGAATTTCGCCCGGCTGACTGTCCCTGGGGGGAAGTGGTGGCAGCTGTACCCGCGGTGGCTGGAGCATCTGACATCAAATCTGATCTACGATGGAGATATGATTGTGCTGCAGGGTCAGGAGAAGGTTTTGAAAGGAGGAGGGGGGGGAGGAGGAGGAGGAGTGCCGTATAGTAAGCTGACGTACACACCGGCTGGTGCTGATAGGATGGTCTTGGCTTTCCGGAACTGGCTTCGTAGGTACGGTGGTGGCGAACCTGCCTGGGACCCGAGCCTAACCGCAGGTCCGGGAGGCGCCGCACCTCTCCCGTCCACGGTTCTGTCCCGGAAAGAAATGCTCGACCGGCTCGGGCAGCACACGGAAAAATGTTCCTCCTGCCGGGCAGCTTTGAAAAATGTGAGGAGGCTGGCTGCTGTGCTGGTAGGGGCGGCGGCGGTGCTGCTTGCGGCAGCAGCGGTGATCCCTGGGGAGGCGGTGGGGGTTGGAGGCAAGGCATGGTTGGCAGTGGGAGCGGTGGTGTCGTTGGCAAGTGCTGCATGGCTCAAGTATGAGCTCGAATGGCAGTTTGTTCATCGGGACTATGTGCATGCTGATGTGGAGTGACTGTGGAAGGGGCATGGTGGTGGTGGGAGTGACAGCAGTACCACCACCTGTAGTAGCAGCAGCAGCGGTGGCGCCTGGGGAGGTGGTGGGTGGGGAAGGCAAGGCAGGGTTGGCAGTGGGGGCGGTGGTATCGCTGGCAAGTGCTGCTTGGCTCAAGTATGAGCTTAAACCTCAGTTTGTTCATCGGGACTATGGGCATGCTGACGTGGAGTGAGCATGGGAGGATGGGAGGTGGGAGGGGTGTGGTAGGGCGAAGGAGTGTTGAAAGGGGCGGTAGAAGTACGAGCATGCGCTGCTGTTTGTACAACACCGTGACTACGAGCATGCTGATGTATAGTGTGACCATGGAAGGGGTGTGGTGGTAAGGGTGGGAGACGTGGAGTGAGGATGGGAGGTGGGAGGGGTGTGGTGGTGATAGGAGTGGTGGCAGTCCTGCTTCTGCAGTGCTGAGTTAGTGTTATGGTGTGACTGTGAGGAGGATAGATGATTGCATCCGAATATCTCTGGGGCGAATTCGTATGTATGTGTACAGCTTGGTGTGTGTTCCTTGCGTGTTGCCCACATGCTTGACAAGATAGTGTTCATATTGCAGTTGTGTATGGCTAGGGAATAGCGTTGCAATGTGTATATCCTGTAAATAATATACATGTACGCTGCATTCACCATTGTGTAGCAATTTGATCTTAGCATGCATGCATCTCCATGCCAAATTACTTACCAGCGGTACCAGTACTGAGTAGACAGAACCTCTCAAAATCAACTACCGGTATCTTACAAGTTACAGGAGGAACAGTAGCAGCAATACTGTTACAAGAGAAACAGTAGCCATCTTTTCAAGCCTTTAAACTAATCACCAGCACCCCTCGCACACCCGCTAGTATTTACATCTGCTCACAGCTCATACTACCACTCATATCCCCCCTTCACTCCCCCTCTGCTCCCCCCTCCCTCCCCTCCAATCCCAGCTGCACCAAATCTTCCAGTCACTCTGACCCTCCACACCTTCATTCACAGCGCATACCACTTGATGTGGATATTCCCCTTCACTCCGCCCTCTCCTCCGCCCTCCCTCCCCTCCAATCCCAGCTGCAGCAAATCTCCTGGATACTCCGACCCTCGCACACCACCTATGTTCAAGGCGCCAGCAACTCGTACCACTAGAAACATCTCTTCATTCCCCGTATGCTGCTCCCTCCCTTCCCTCCAATCCCAGCTGCAGCAGATCTTCCGGATACTCTGACCCTCGCACAAAGCGAGTGTACGACACTGGGAGGGGCAGAGAGGGGTTGGGATGGGTCAGAGAGCGAGTGTAGAACGGTAAAGGGTGTGTGTTGGAAGGGGGGAGAACAGGACAGCGGAAGGAAATAGCTAACTCCACATAGCCATCACGTCTCTCTTCCTCCCCACAAGTGACTTTTGAGTCGACTCAAAAGTTCCAAGCTTAGTGCCTCAAACACGCCCCTCCCCAGAAACCCCTTCACACGCCCTCTCACCGTTCTCAATCTTGTTAAGGCTCGCCAGCATGACGTCCATCTTCTTCCCCACCTCGCTGCTCCTGGGAAGGAGACTGAACCCCGCATATAGCTGGACCACCTCTGTAGTCCTGAAACCCCATCATACATCCAGGAACCGCTTCACAAGCCCAGGAACTCCCTCTCACCGTTCTCAATCTTGTTGAGGCTCGCCAACATGACATCCATCTTCTTCCCCATCTCCTTCCCCACCTCGCTGCTCCTGGGAAGGAGACTGAACCCCGCATACAGACGCTGCATAAACAACCGACACGCATCCGCATCCACCCCCACTGCTCCCCCCTCTTCTTCGACCTCTTTTGCAGGCTCGGCAGCAGCAGCAGCAGCAGCAGCAGGTTCGGTGTCTCGAGGCTCTGGTTGAGCCTCGGGTTGCTCCCGAGGCCTCTTTCCTCGCCTGCTGGAACCCTTTCGATTGGATCCCTCATTATCACCAGCAGCGCCAGCAACACCACCAGCAACACCACCAGCACCATCACCAGCACCATCACCAGCACCAGCAGCAGCAGCAGCAGCACGGCTGGACACAGCTAGCCTCATTACTTCACCAGTCAGATCTGCCAGCTGGATGGGGAAGGGTGGGGAGCGGTGACGGGGGAAGGGTGGGGAGGGGGGTGTGAGCGAGCGGGAGTTTTATCATCATCATCATCATCATCATCATCATCATCATCATCATCATCATCATCATCATCATCATCATCATCATCATCATCATCATCATCATCATCATCATCATCATCATCATCATCATCATCATCATCATCATCATCATCAGCAGCAGCAGCAGCAGCAGCAGCAGCAGGAAGGGGAGGGGGTGGTGGTGGTGTTGTGGAAGGAAGGTAAACCAAATACAGGTGGAAGGTTCGCTCATGCTATCATCGCATCTCACCCCAACTTTCGTCACCCACTAACATCCCCATGCTCACCCCCCCTCTCATTCCCGCTCCCGCTCACCCCCAGCACATAGTCAGCAGCATGCACATGGAAGGTTCGGACATGCTATCATCCCAGATCACCCCTCTCAACCCCCTCTCAACCCCCTCTCAAACCCCTCTCAACCCCCTCTCAACCCCCTCTCCGCCCCCTCTCAACCCCCTCTCAACCCCCTCTCAACCCCCTCTCTGCCCCCTCTCAACCCCCTCTCCACCCCCTCTCAACCCCCTCTCAACTCCCTCTCCACCCCCTCTCCCACCCCTTCTCCCACCCCCTCTCACCCCACCTCTCAGCCCCCCTTCCACTCACCTCCAGCACATAGTCAGCAGCATGCACGTGAAAAGTTCGCTTCTCCTATCACCCATCCCCCCCCAATTGTCCCCTTGCACCTATTAACTACTCACTCACCTACCCATCCCCCCTTCCACTCACCCCCAGCACATAGTCAGCAGCATGCATGTGGAAGGTTCGGCCGTCGCGGTCCACGATTCCCTCAAACGCACCGTTTACCTGTGCAGTGCAGTGCAGTGCAGTGCAGTGCAGTGCAGTGCGGTGCAGGGCAGCGCAGGGCAGGGCAGGGCAGGGCAGCGCAGGGCAGGGAGTGACGAAGAGCAACAAGTGCAGCAGAGGGCACAGACGAACAGGGGACAGGCGCGGCGGGGACAGGTGCAGAGGGTGTTGCATCTAACAAGGCTCACAGGAAACCCGGGACTCTCCCACAGCCAAGGTTTTACAAGCTTTAACAAGGTTTATCAAGGTTTGACAAGGTTTTAAAAGGTTCCCAATGCAGCTTTCTCACCTCAGCCAAAGTCAGCAGACGGCCTGTCTGGCGGAAGTGCAAGAAAGACGCCGCCTCCACATACTCTTGCAGCTGCCACAGCACTCAAAAAGGGGAAGGCGAGAGGGGAGAGGGGGTTGGATTGCAAATGGAAACAAAGATGCGGGTATGACAGGAAGAAACGAACGAAAGAAAGAAAGAAAGAAAGAAAGAAAGAAAGAAAGAAAGAAAGAAAGAAAGAAAGAAAGAAAGAAAGAGACGAAGGTGCCAAGATGGTATGCCAGGGGCTCTGTGGGTACTGAAGGGATGCAGAACCCCCATCCCATCCCATATCACCGCTGCCCCCCATCTCCTCCACCCACCCCCCACGTGTACGCGCAAGTGAACCGCCAGTAGTCCTCTGCTTGCAGCTCCCCTGCCCACCCCACCCCCTCCCATCCCACCCCATCCCACCCCACCCCACCTCGCCCTGCCCCGCCCTGTCTCCCCTACACCCCTCCACCCACCCCCCACGTGTACGCGCGTGTGAAGCGCCAGTAGTCCTCTTCTTGCAATTCGCGAGCCACCTGTGCCATGTGGTGGGCCCGTAGTGATGCCAGCTGCTGCGCTGCTGCTGCCAGGGCGCGAGGGGTGGTGGCTCTGAGGCAAAGAGGGGCGTAGAGGGGTGGGGAGCGGTGGAGAGGGGTAGGAGGTGCAGGGGGGAGGGGGGGAGCAGATGTGTCCTCGGCACTCCGATCGCGAGCCACCTGGGCTCACAGTGATGCCAGTTGCTGCGCTGCTGCTGCCAGGGCGCGGGGAGTGGTGGATCTGCTGGGGAGGGGTGGAGAGGTGTGTAAAAGGGTGAAAAGGTGACGTTCGCCAGCCGCTGTGATGCGTCCACCAGGAAGTGATGGTGGTGGCCGTGAGACACTGCATAGAATGAGATTTGGGCCGTAGAGGGAATTGGAGATCTGGGCTACAAAAATGAGCCGACACCAAGATGTGAGGGTGGTGGCCGTGTTAAATTTTGAGTCGACTTAAAAATTCCGGGTGGGAAGAAAGGGAAATTGTGACATCGTGTGGTGTGGTGTGGTTTGCACACAGCGATGCCAACTGCTGCTGTGCTGCTGTTGGCAGGTCGTGAGGGCTTGCGATATGGTGATGGATTGAAACGGGAGAACTGGTTCACAATACGGCGGAAACCATGTCATCACACCATGTCAGCAGGTGCCACGTCACACACCTGTGGATGGCGAAGATGATCTTCTTGCTCTGTATAGTCACATCGCGGCTCGCTTTCACCAGCCTCTCCCTCCGCTCGTTCTGCAGGCGCGATGTGACACAAACGGGGGAAGGTGACAGAAACGAGCGAGAGAAGAGAGACGACGAATTCAACCGGGTGCCGACTGAACGAGGTGAGCCCACTTGCTTGAGGCTGAAATTCGGACGATGCTCGTGGAGCAATTCTAGAAAGAATCACAAGCATCTTCCGAATTTCTGCCGCACCCACTACTGCAACGCACTATCTCGTCTAGAACCCGCGCGTAGCCCTCGAATTCCGCCGCGATTGACGGAGAGCCGTCGTCCTCCCCCATATTGCCCTCCCCGCCCTCTCTGCCCTCCTCCTGGTCTGTTAGCCGTGGAAATAAGAGTCACAGTGATGCTGCTAGAAGCATCGTCACCGTCGCGAAAGAAGGGAGGTGTGATGGCAACAAGAAAACAAGAGGTGACAGGCAACGAGCAGAAATGGAGAGCGGGGAAATGGAGGGTGAAGGTGTGACGAATGTGGGTCCTTGTCTCGATTGTAAAAATGATTTTTTTCGAAAGTGTGTAACACTTTCTAAAAATGTGTATTTTGAAAGCGCAGCTGACTGTCACGAAGCAAAGCAACGGCGAATTACAATTCGCCGAGTACATAACGAGGGTTGGAGGCCATTCGGCCTCCACCCACGACTTCATTTCGGAACTTTGCAGTTCCACTCATTCTCGTCCAACCACCTCGAAAGTTTCCTCTGTCACTAGAACTACTTACTACGACTCACCTACAAGCGATCGATTTTCATGAAGGGCAACACTATCACGCGTGCGACTGTACTTAGCGGGCGCTCAACTGAGAGCGAAGTGCGCCGGACGAAACGCCAACAGACGCGCCAAAGACGAAATCGCCAGTGGCACGCACTAGTGACGAAATTGCCACTGGCGCCAGTGGCTCGCGCTAGGGACGAAATCGCCACTGGCGCCAGTGGCAGGCGATTGGGACGAAATCGCCACTGGCGCAAGTGGCGCGCGCCAGGGACGAAATCGCCACACGCGCGCATGTGGCGAAATTGCCACGTGCGCCAGTGGCGAAATCGCCACTAGCGCGCCATGGACGAAATGGCCGCTGGCGCGGCAGTGACGAAATTGCCACTGCAGCGCCTTAGGCGTTTGACTGGGCGTCATTTGTTGCCTAAGTGCTGCAAGTCATTTTCTTTCAGTTTTATTTTCGTTATGTCCTCTTCGTTTATTTTCTATTAATCTATAAGCTCCTCTTATCCCTTGGTGGCAGAAATCAGGCCCAACACTACAGTGGTGGAAAGACTTTTATAAAAGGCTCTACTAGTCGCGCGGGGAAATTACATGGACTACAGGATCAAACTGCACGCGCACCTAAGGACGTCTCCCAATAAAAAGAGCGGACAGAGGGTCTCCCCGTGTGGCCTGAGAGCCGTCCCCCAGGGGGGGAAGGGGACCGAGGGTCCCCGTGTGGCCTGAGAGCCGTCCCCCAGGGGGGGAAGGGGACCGAGGGTCCCCGTGTGGCCTGAGAGCCGTCCCCCAGGGGGGGAAGGGGACCGAGGGTCCCCGTGTGGCCTGAGAGCCGTCCCCCAGGGGGGGAAGGGGACCGAGGGTCCCCGTGTGGCCTGAGAGCCGTCCCCCAAGGGGGGAAGGGGACCGAGGGTCCCCGTGTGGCCTGAGAGCCGTCCCCCAGGGGGGGAAGGGGACCGAGGGTCCCCGTGTGGCCTGAGAGCCGTCCCCTAGGGGGGGAAGGGGACCGAGGGTCCCCGTGTGGCCTGAGAGCCGTCCCCCAGGGGGGAAAAGGGGACCGAGGGTCCCCGTGTGGCCTGAGAGCCATCCCTCAGGGGGGGGAAGGGGACCGAGGGTCCCCGTGTGGCCTGAGAGCCGTCCCCCAGGGGGGGAAGGGGACCGAGGGTCCCCGTGTGGCCTGAGAGCCGTCCCCTAGGGGGGGAAGGGGACCGAGGGTCCTCGTGTGGCCTGAGAGCCGCCCCCCAGGGGGGGAAGGGGACCGAGGGTTCCCGTGTGGCCTGAGAGCCGTCCCCCAGGGGGGGAAGGGGACCGAGGGTCCCCATGTTGGGCTTGCCGTAAGATGGGCTGAATTTCGAACAATGTGTGTGTTAGTATGGATCATCCTTGGCTATTGATGTAACCGTATATGATAAGATTTCAAAAAAAAAAAAAAAAAGGGGGGCTCAAACATTTTTTGACAAACAAAGGTTGGTTGGTGCCCCATCAATTTCCAGGGAAGCAATTGTTTGGAGTGACCTGGTTACAAATGGTTGGTAGAGTGCAACTCAAGATGGATTTTGAATCTGACTTGACTACGGTTGTTCACACACACTCCTACATCGCATTCAATGTTCTCTCCAAATAAGGGCAATGAGAAAGGGATTGGTTTCCATCATGCTCATCCCACTCTCTTAGATCGCACCCGAGATGGAAATAAAAGCACGGGAGTTGCGACTAGCATGCTACCACAAGTTGCGTCTCGTTAAGAACTTGAATGGGCTTTAGGTGTTGGGAGTTAAAGACGGAATTCGTGTGTGAAAAAAAAAAAAAAAAAAAGTACCACCTACCGTATTTAACCAAAATGACGGACACACCCTCCCGCTACTACCAACTCAGCCCATACATCCACGTTGTAGATAGCCCCGAACCTCAAACGGTTGGAAGCGTAGAGTACAGCAGAGCACATGGTAAATCCCAAGATAAAAGTTGTACCGTCCATTGGGTGTGTAGACCTTGGTTGGGAACCACCAATTGCAACCACTATTCTGCTGCATCAACAAACACGCACATCTACACTAACAGAACGAAACCTTCACACACACAACATTTCGAACGCCATCGACATAGAGATCGCGATTACCAACGCCACCTCTCTCGGCACTTCGTCAAGGCCATCAATCACAACTACACTCGCCACGTCTTCAACACCCCACCTGCACATGTCTCAGAAGACCCAATTGTAATGAAGCCCGTTGCCTTTGCAAGAACAGAAAGCAAGCTTTCTCAATATGATTTTTTTCGAAAGTGTGTAACACTTTCTAAAAATGCGTATTTTGAAAGCGCAGCTGACTGTCACGAAGCAAAGCAACGGCGAATTACAATTCGCCGAGTACATAACGAGGGTTGGAGGCCATTCGGCCTCCACCCACGACTTCATTTCGGAACTTTGCAGTTCCACCCTCCACCCACCCACCCTAGTTGTATATCTGTATAATCCATCCATAGTTGGACGAGAATGTTGTATTACTGCAATTGTAATGAAGCCCGTTGCCTTTCCCAATTGTAATGAAGCCCGTTGCCTTTGCAAGAACAGAAAGCAAGCTTTCTCAATTTTCTCACATTCTGCACTCGATAAAAGATAACCGTGAAGTGAATCTCAATGGGTCAATTAAACAAAATGGTACACTTCCTGAATTCAAGCACACTAGCTAGATATGCAAACTACAGATTCAACCACATGGAACTTGAGTGAATGAATACAAACAGGAGGTGGTACCGTACTTCAATGCACATAACACTACAACATCACAAATTTATAAGGGAGTCATGCTCCTGTTAGGTGTTACATGTTCTCTAGGGGCATATATGCGTTCACCACCTCCCTCCATATGCACACCTTCCCATCCGCCAAAGCTACTTTCAAATATATCCCTCTTTTGCCTTACCCAATCCCTCCATTCTAACCAGATAAGCTCAACCAACCCCAAACACTTGTAGACAAAATACACCATAATAGTTGGTGCTAATGCCACTCCACCACCACCCATCCCCCTCCTCCCCATCCACACAACAAACGCCACAGCCCCCACCGCCTCATGATGCACATTCCCCAGCAAAAACGACAAGCCATGCAGCCCCACACCGATCCACAGGCCCGGCATTCCCCCGAGCCTCCACGCGACAGCTCCGGCGACCTTCAACCCCAGCCTCGTGTTTGCAGAGATGATAAGGACCAAGGAAAGCCACGCTACAGTAGCGTTGGTACCATAAAGAACACCGAGGATGACACTAACGAGGATGAAAATGAGGTCTGGGCCGAAAGAAGCCCGCCATTCGGGCTGCAAAGGGGACAGGAGAATGTTGAGAAGAGAGGAGGGCGCGTGGCGAAGGAAAGAGAGGATGAAAAGGGCGTATGAAGCCAGAGGAACCGTTGAAGCTTTGAAATTCGGGGCAGAACCAGCAGCAGCAGCAGCAGCGGCGGCGGCGGCGGGAGAGGACGCTGCATGATGCAAAGGAGGCTCATCCCACAGTGGCCCACTGCCTCCAAAAACATTCTCTCCTGCCATGGTTGCCCCTTGCTCCACTCCTCCTAAACCGCCCCCAGCTGCTGCCGCAACGCCAGCACCGCCAGTGGCAGCAGCAGAAGCAGCAGCAGCAACACCTCCTCTTCCAGAACTGCACACATTTCCCTCCAACAGCCCCCCCTGTTCCAGCAGTACATTTGATCCAGCCTGCTCCGGTCTCTTCCATCTGTTCCTGCCTGCCTCCTGCCCTGCACCATCCCCTGCACGCCAGTCGAACTCGTCTCCTTCAGTGCGTCTCCACATCCTCTCTTCCCCCCCATGCTTCTGTGCCTCATGCTCACCACGCCATGCTCCCCTGCTCATGGCGCTGCTCCTGGTTTTGAACGCCGCAACACGCCGTGCGCGCTGCTGCACTGCCAGCGCCCACCGCGCGTGGAACAGCCACCGCAGGTACCACGCCGAGAAGATCGGGCACTCCGAGGATGAGGCTCGGGCCGAACCTGGGCCAGGCTCAGCGGAGGCTCGAGCGGAGGCTGAGAACGCCCTGTCAAAAGGGTCGAAGCTGGTGTGGTGGTATGGGAGGAGGGAACGAATTAACAAGTAGGGTAAAGAATGGGGTAATCATTGGGGTTATAAGGGCAACAAAAACGTGAGATTTCTGATTTTTGTGCTTGGAATACGGTGGTGCTTCTGAAGCTGACCTGGCAGATGCTCCGTGTGCTGGCGTGGCAGATGACACGGATGACCAGTGCCGCGTGGAGCTGCGACCGGCGGGAACACCAGCAACACGAACCGACGCTCCGCGAGCAACTGTAGCGCCGCGACTAGCAGCCACGCGACTCCCAGCAGCGCGACTCGAAGCAGCAGCGCGCTGGATGCTAAGGTCGTAGAGATGGCGCTGCTGGTCGTCTGACAACACCTCGTACGCCGCCACTATGGCCTGGAAGGTTCGGCCCGAACCTGAGGCTTGGGACACGTCTGGGTGATACTGCGAGGGAGGACCCGGAGAAGGAAGGGGAGGGTACGAGTGGGCAGGGGAGGGGGAGGGACGGTTGGAAGGGGTGTGAGGCGACTTGCGAGGGGGGAATGGAGTTACACGCAAGGGGGCGAAAGCGCAATGCGACACATCGCAGCCATAGCAAGGGACGCAATTAGTACACTTGTGGCCGTCTCTGTCTCTGTTTTGCGCACCTTTCTCGCCATTTCTCGAAAAGCCTTCTTGATTTCCTGTTTGTTCGCGGTATAAGAGACTCCGAGGGTTTGGTACAAGTCCGTCGCGGCTCGCACGATCACCGCGCTCCAGTGTCGAGCGCGTAGAGGCTCGGAAGAAGAAGACTTGAGGGGCGTTCCAAGGTTTGGTCCAAGCCGTGACCTGAGGCACGGTCCGAGGCATTTCGCGCGGGGCGGAGGATCGGGCCGGGATATTTTACCCAACGAGGGAGGATAGCGGCGCTGCGACGTTGCTTCGCGAGAGGCTTTAAACGCGCAGACTGGGCCGCTATGGGCCACAGCGAGAGACATTGTCCTCCTGACCCGTCCCTACATTAAAAATAACGGCTGCATAAGGCGCAACGGAAGTTACGCAAGGTTGTCTAAGTTCAAGAGAAGGGCATGACGCTACGATCTATATCGCATACACTCTCTTGCCACGGGACCTTCTATTCCTCCCGAACGTGCTGTATAGACGAACTGAAACTAGATGACCCCGTCTCGAGTCGCTTGATGAACTGCGGAATAAACGTCTATAATTCCATGAGAGAAGGCATCAACATCAACATCACCACAGCTCGCCACACCACTTTTCACCTCACTCTCACACGACTCCACAACAACCTACCTAGACACAAGCAACGAGGGGCGAGGGGGACCCAGAGCTGGGGAATGGGAATCGAGAGGGATGGGAGGGGCGTTTACGGATTGGACGAAAATTGGTTTCCTAGGCGCGATCTCAAAAGTTCAAATGTGAGCTGCCCGCATCGAAACGCTAAAGATTTGTTGAGACGATTATACAGTACATTAGGTGCCAGAAGCGAAACAGAGATGCGATTTGCGTCCCAGAAGTGTCAACTAAACTCAAAAGGTTTATTCCTAAACTCCCTAAACAACAAAAATGTTTAGGAACGCCAGCAGTTGGCTGGAGGTGATGTGTTGCTGGGCGCGAAGGCTGGATGTGGGCACGGCTATTACCGCTAACGAGACTCCACTACAAGCTACTACGGTAGATTCCCTACAAAATGTTTTGCCGTGTAAAGATACTCTATAAAGACGCAAAAGGGTGTGATGCTTTATCCCTGTACTATCTGACAATGGGATTGCTCCGCACTGGAAAATACTTCTTGAAAATCACCCCAGGCTAAAATGTAAAATAAACTCTTATTTGATAGGGTGCAGTTTCAAGCACAGGGCCGCTGCTTAAATCATGGAAGGCAGGAACATTTGCTCGGTGAGGTTCTGAGCCGCTTCCTCGGAGGGAAAGCTCCTGACAGCCCCGGTGGTCCAGGAGCGGCGGCGGGGGAGGGGGCAGCAGCGGCGGTGGGGGAGGAGGGAGCGGTAGTGGCATTGGTGGTCAGGGCCAGCAGCAGCCGCAGCAGCAGCAGCAGCACCAGCAGCAGCAGCGTCAGCGCCAGACCCCCACTTCCCAGCAACTTCTTGACTGGTATGCCGGGCGTGGGGCTTCTGGGGGTCCTGGTCGCTGCCCCTATCTCATCCGCACAGGTCCCCGCGCTGGTCGCCAGTGCACAGGTTTTCACACTGAGCAGCGTTGCTTCGCTCGGCTTAGCGACGCCTGGCGCGCCAAGTTTCCTGATGCTTCTGAGTTCCCCAATTGGGCAGACTTGCTTAGGCATGATGTACCTATCTTTGATCTTGACTATGAGGCAATTCTTGCTGCTATGTATGCCTTGTCTGTTAGTGCTGAGGGTGACTGCTACTTGTGTGTGCCGCCGGATCCTGGTATAGCCCCTGGTATAGCCCCTGCAGCACTAGGTACTTGTGAGTCTGCTCCCCCTGGTCCTGCGCCTGCACAGGTTTTGCACACCTTTACACTTGACTCTGGTGCTTCCCGCTGTTTCTTTCGCGACAGTACCACAGTCACTCCCCTCCCTGCACCTGTTCTTGTCTCACTGGCTGACCCCTCTAGGGGCCCAGTGCTTGCACGGTCTTCCACTGTGCTTCCGTGTCCGGCGGTCCCGTCTGGTGAGCTGTCTGGTCTCCACCTCCCCTCGTTCTTTACGAACTTGGTGAGTAACGCTGTCCTCCAGGATGCGGGGGTTGACACCTTCACCCCTGGCCGGCAGCGTGTGGCGATTTGCACGTGCTCCCAGACTGGTCGCCACCTGGCCACGTTCGCTCGTGCGCCAGGGTCCAGTTTGTACACCCTCACCACTGCGTCGCGCTCCGCCCCTTTGTCTCCCCAGTTACACGCGTCTGCTCAGGTAGCTACACAGTGTGAGTGTCGCCGGCTGTCGCACGACACTCTCCTGTGGCACCACCGCCTTGGTCACCCCTCCCTGCCTCGCCTGCGCAGCATGCACTCCCGCTTCCTGGTTTCTGGTCTTCCCAGGTCTCTGCCTCCCCTCCCTCCCTTGCCTGCGCCGCCCTGCATTCCTTGCGTCGAGGGGCGGCAGCGCGCCGCTCCTCACTCCTCCTCGTTCCCTCCCACAGAGGCTCCACTGCAGACTCTCCACCTGGACGTGTGGGGCCCAGCCCGCGTCCGTGGATAGGGCCACGAGCGGTACTTCCTGCTGGTTGTCGACGACTACACGCGTTACACCACGGTCTTCCCCTTGCAGCGCAAGGGGGATGTCCCTGATGTTTTGATCCCCTGGATCCGCACTACTCGTCTCCAGCTCCGCGAGCGGTTCCAGTCGGACTTTCCTGTCCTGCGTCTGCACTCTGACAGAGGTGGTGAGTTCTCCTCAGACCTCTTGGCAGCCTTCTGTGCGGAGCACGGCATCCGCCAGACTTTCACGCTTCCGGCCTCTCCGCAGCAGAATGGGGTTGCTAAGCGCCGCATTGGCTTAGTCATGGAGGTCGCTCGTACCTCCATGATCCATGCGGCTGCCCCCCATTTTCTGTGGCCGTTTGCGGTCCGGTACGCCGCGCAACAGCTCAACCTTTGGCCCCGTGTCTCCTTGCCGGAGACCTCGCCCACACTGCTGTGGACGGGGAAGGTTGGCGACGCGTCGCGTTTCCGGGTCTGGGGTGCTCGTGCCTTTGTCCGCGATACTACCGCGGACAAGCTGTCCCCTCGCGCCATTCCTTGCGTCTTCCTTGGCTTTGTCCCTGACGTGCCTGGCTGACAGTTTTACGACCCCGCCTCGCGCCGTGTCTTTGCGTCTCAGGACGTCACCTTTGACGAGTCGGTCCCCTTTTACCGCCTCTTCCCCTACCGCACTGTTCCTCGCCCCCCCCCGCTGCTCTTTCTCGCCCCAGGTCCTCCCCAGGTAGACCCCTTCCCCGCGCCAGGTCCTGCTCCTTCAGGTGTCTCTCAGGTAGACCCCCCTGCGCCTGCGCGTGTTGAGGTCACTGGTGACTCCGGTCCTGCTGCGAGTGGTGCTGTCCCTGGGGGTGCGGAGCTTGGGGGTGCGTAGCATGGGGGTGCTGAGTCTGGGGGCACTGAGTGTGAGGGGCCTGCGGGTACGGAGCCTGGAGGTGCTGAGCCTGCGCGTGAGGTGCCTGGAGGTCCTGTGTCTGGGGGTGCTGCGTCTGGAGGTCCTGTGTCTGGGGGTGCTGCGTCTGGAGGTCCTGCGTCTGTGCCCGGGGCGCGCGCGAAATCCGGAGGCACCCACTGGAGATTGCGCCACGTGGCAAATATCTCGTCTGGGGCTTGCCGCGAGCTGCGGCGCACAACGGGAACGAATTCTCGAACCGCTTCCCCAACGCAAACCACCTGACTGGGGCCCGCAGGAGCGGGCGGCGGAGAGGGCGGCAGATTTTGTCGCCATGTGGGAGGGGGAAGCCCGCCCACCGCCCTGCTTCCCCCAGCTGCGCTATCGCTCGGCTGATCCTCCTTCCCGTTGGACCAATCAGCTTGCAGCGATCCCTCGTCTGAATCTTCGGGTTCCGCATCCGAGCCTTCGATATAGTCATCCGAACTCGATAGGTCGTCCGCTACAGTCACAATCGGTCCTGAATCTCCCTCCAATCCCCTGCTCGATACAGTCACGATTTCGGTATTGGAGCTACTGGAGCCTGATTGGTCGAAACTATCACCTGAAACCGCAAGTGCCATTTGGAACCCTGAAACCTCGCCATCAGACCCACTGGATTCGTCAGAGCTCTCCGTCCACGAAACTTCGTCGCCACGGTTCAGAGAGACTTCCGAGCCTGCAGAACTTTCTCTCGAAGCTTCGTCTTCTGGGGATCTGATTTTCCGGGGCCTGCCGCGTCGCCTAGAGCCGACGCGCTGCGAGGGTCCGTCCACGTCACTCCCACTTGCTGACACGTGGAATCGCAATGTTCTCGTCGAGGGGTACCCTGCGCTAGAAATGTGACTATAGCGAGGCATGGCGACTAGGCGATGCGCGTGAGGAAGCGGCGCCTTCCGTGGTAACAGGGTAACGCACTTGTACGGTGTAGTAAGCAGTCTTCGCGAGTCGAGCGTGTATAATGCGACGGGCGATGTTACCATTTCGGCAGCGGCGAGCAGTGCGGCCGCCATGAATTCACTCGAATCAACTCGATACTGCTCTACTCGCCGCGATTCGATTCCGCGATGCTTCGTGCTACGCTCTTGATGGCTGAGCGTTATTTCTAGTGGCCAGCAACCTCCTTACTAGTAGTGGTAAGACAGGTTTCAGGGCTTTTTGAAAGTGACACTAGGAAACATTGTCCTCGACAGGAAGACATCGATACAGATTGAGGAAACCTAAACCACAATACACACCCCGTATGGCAAGACATGCATACAATACATAGGCTGAGAAATCAAATCAGAAAATGCAAGGAAATACACCTAAAAAATCACTTGTTTTGCATCTATTACTCATTTTGATGGTTACTGGCTTCGCTAACTTCACCATTAATACAATGCGACATCAATGGGAGGTAGGAGGGGTTGGGATGTCTAAAGGGGATCACTCTGAGCAACCTGGTTGATAAAGGACCAGACGGAAGCAGGAGCGCTAAAAACAATTCGAAGCTGGAAAGGAAGCTGGGAGGTGAGGAGCAGAGGAAGTGGGCATTGAAGACACATGCTGCAGGCCGGCGGCATGGAAGAAACTTGTTCTGGAAATACTCATAGCTGACGAAATCCTTGCGGCAACCAAGCTGGCCAGGACAAGTTCACAGCGAACTGGAGTGACACTTTATTATAGTCTGCTTTATACAGCAAACAACCAACCCTTCGAGAAGTGTGTGACATTCAAGGAGGATGGGAGTGTGTCAAAGTAC